AAACGTATAAAGAAAAACTATAGTATAAAGTTATGTCGATGAATTTGATTCATTGGTTATGACCTTTTTAAAGAAACCAATGAACTCCGTAGAAGTCTTAATCAAAAGGAAACAAGTTTCTTTGGTCTTGACGGTCGCTGTAAGTGTTTTTCTAAAATAGACCATTTTCCTTGGGATTGGCTGCCTACGACTGGTGAGCTACAAAAAAACTAGCCATTCAGGAAAACTAGTTTTAGAGACTGTTCAAGTTCGCTTACTGATAGAGGTGATGGCTGAATAGGGATCAAGTTTAAAGTAAATAAAGGGGGCAAATTTCGGGAATTTCATAAGTAAAAATTTTTCCACTGGTGCTGAAATAATGGAGAGTATTTTGTCACCAGAATAAAAGCGATTTATTCATTTCTTGCCAGTTGGTCCCCAGATATTATTGTCATCAAATCGCCTGATGGCTGAACAAAACCAAAACCTAACAATCGACTGCACTGCCACTGGTCAGCCTCAACCCAAGATCACGTGGTCCAAGTTAGGAGGAGTTTTGCCAAAAGGAAGAAATGAAGTGATGGACGCAGCCTTGAAGATCTATCAAGTGACGAGAAACGACGGTGGAGTATATACGTGTAGAGCACATAATATCCTGGGATCAGCGACAGGTATGGCTCAATTGATGGTTTTTTCGCCTCTTCGGTTCAAAGTTCGACCCCCTCAAGAATTTACTCCTGTGGTTGGCTCAACTGTTCGCCTGCCTTGTGTGGCCGAGAGTGACCTAATACCTACTCTCACTTGGACAAAGGACGACTCTTTTCTTTCGGTTGGTTCAAGGATTCTGCAAGACAACACTCTGGTTGTTGGCAGCATCAAAATATCTCACAAAGGATCTTACACCTGCAGAGCGAGTAATCCCTTGAAAACGATAGAAGCCAAAGTGAAAATCAATTCTCCAGTTACTGCGGCTTCCTGTTCTTCTATCAGTAACAGTATAAGCGGAAATTACGTCATTGATCCAGATGGCGAGGGAGGTCTGGCGCCATTCACTGTTTACTGTGATATGAGAGCTAAAAATGGAGTTGGCGTGACAGTCATCAGTCACGACAGTGAAAGTAGAACATCGGTGAAAGGATATGAAGGTATGGGTGCATACTCACGAGATGTTCGTTACAAAGGAGCGAGTGTATCTCAGCTGGCGAGTCTCACTAGAGTTTCCTCGCACTGCGAACAATTTATCAAGTATGACTGCCATGGTTCGCTTCTGCTTTACAAAAACGATCCACGTGGATGGTGGGTGTCACGTGATTCTACTAAGATGACGTACTGGGGTGGAGCATCTGGCAATAGCAAGTGCGCATGCGGGATGACTAACTCGTGTGCAAATCCCAGTCATGGCTGTAACTGTGACAAGAATGACAACGTATGGCGTGAAGACAGCGGTCTCCTCACTGACAAGACCAAGCTTCCTGTAGTACAACTCAGGTTTGGGGATACTGGTAACAGCGGAGAACAAGGTTACCATACACTCGGAAAACTAAAGTGCTTTGGAACAGCATAAATAGATGCTAGTTGTTGTGATTCCAAACCGAAAATTAAGGAAAAGCATGCGTTACCTTAAACTCTAAATTCTTTCCACGAGAATTAACACCAACCGAAAATCGAGACATGGCATTAATACCCTGTCTTTTTTCCTAGTACTGACGTATGGATATGATTGTCTACACCTGCTTTCGAAAGTCTTGCAGGTCGTGTTAGAGAGTAGTAAGCGATAGTTTAATAAACATTTGCTACGTATTCTGAAATATACTGTTTCTGTTGTAGACGGCTGCTACTACCGGGGCTGAGCGCATGCGTGAGATTCTGACTATTATTGTGTGAATGCTTTGGTGAAGAGAGATATTATTTCTCTTGTTGTTATTCACATAGGGGAATCAAGCCAATCATAACAAGAACGCTCACAGCCTAGATCGAATGACCATTTATCTACCTTAAAATAAACACCTCACCAAAAGATTTGGAGGTCTCATGCATAAAGATAAAAGGTGTTAAAGTTAAGCCCTGTTTAATCTCCACTTTTTATGTGCAATTTATGAAGTTTAAATACTTTTGCATTAAAAGCGATCCAAAATTTCAGTGTGTGTTGGTTAAGCGACTTGTGGCGTGACAATAGGCAGAAGAGAAGCTTATTAAAACCTTTGAATGCAGAGGTCCACTCAACAGTAAATAAAACCGACTGGTTCTTTCTTGTCGGATCTCTAATCTAGAGATGCTAATGCCAGAGGTCACTTGAAGTGGGAATTAAAACAAAACTGAATACAAGGCTGGCAATACCACAAAGGGGTGATTTATTTCAGGCCAATATTTCGGCTAACAAAATTAGCCTTCTTCAGGGCCACAGCTTTTAAGATCCTTTGAGGTCGAAAACATAACTTTTTCAAATCAGGTGTAGGCCTTGCGTCATTCCTCAATGCAAAAGTCTTCATACTCAAGCATCGTCACGCCACGCGCACCACGTGACCCTGCAGGAATATGGCAGCGCGGAGGAATGAGGTCTAAGGGATTTACCAACACTGGGTAAATGCAAGACAAAACTAAACAAAATGAGCGGAAGGTAATGGGCACGTGAGCTTTAGGAGTTGTAAAGCCGCGTCTGTCACGTCTGTAACCTACTTTTTCTAATATCTTCCTCAGAAAAGACAAGCAAACAGACAAACAAGCTTTCAAGTGTATGTGTTGTAGGTTATATCCGTTCTCAGGTTAAATTACAATTTTTGTCTCCTATGAATAATTAGGGCCTAGAAACAAAAAGAAAATACTGACGAAAATTCGGTTGAATCCTTGTCAAAAATGAGAACGGAATCTACCTAGAACATAAACCTGTGGTTAATTTCTTTACATTATCACTTGACGACGCAAAGCAAATCCTGAACTTCCTACTGCGCAATAATGTTCCCATCTAATTTTGACGACCGCTGGCCAAGTCCGAAATGTCATACGTCTCCACCCTCTAACCCGTAAGGGGCGCGGGGGAGAGAGACGTCTGAATTCCGAGAGTTATAGTGCCGTCCGATGACGTAACCTAGTAATTTATGCATAAATTTCGATTTCTAAAGAAGTTGGCAGCCAAAAGTCACGGAACCGTGAACAACAGCGTGCATATAGTCGATATGCATTGTTCTCTGTTTTGAGTGCAGTGAAGCTTGACGATAAAGCCTCCGGAATAAATGTAAGGCATCGTTTAACTTTTCGAGTTTGAAATGAGGTATTGACAGGCTAAAAACGACCCATAGGCTCATGATAGTGTGAAACATGACCTTGGACTTGGAGTTAGCTTAAACTACAGAGGTCCCCTAGCTTTTTCTTTCTTTCACTTCTATGCAGTACACGGAGAATATAAAACTCTGACAGAACAAATCTTAATTTGACGCTTTGAGTCTGATAATTAAGAGGTCATGAAGCTGGTGTGTTTCATTCCTTTTGAGTAATTATTTCGTGTGGTCTGGAGCGCGATGTCCTACCGTTCTTACTTTGGCAATTACTTTTGTTCTAGCTTGATAGTCTATGCCACTGTACTGGTGATGCATTTTTTCGTTACAAGTGCCCAAATTCGGAATTAAAAGATACCTCGTCTAAGGTCACGTTTATTCTCGTTCAGCCTGACAACACTATTTCAAACCGGATGTATTCTTTAGCGCATTCAGCAAACAATAAAAGGTTTTCCATTTCGGGAAGCTAATAGCCAATCAGAAAATAACTACCATATTCGCAAAAGCAGGTGACGTCACCGGACAACATTACGACGCTCGGAATTCAGTCGTCTCTCTACCCCGCACCCCCTCCCCCTACAACGGATTACGGGGTGAAGAAGACGTGTGACATTTCAGACTATCGCCGGCCTTGCTTTAACTTGTCACTTCATAATGTCACTCACATTCGTTAAGATATAAGTGGGTCATTTGTTTAGAAAAGCCGTATGTCACAGGCCTGGTTATTTAATTACTCCAGTTTCACAAAAGACCTTTCCTTCACTGATTTCAAGGGCCATTAACTTACTCGGTCTTTCTGAAAACGTAGGCCCAAAAAGACAGTTTAATCATGAGGCAACGGAATGTAGAAGAGAAGGATAAGACTGGAAGTAAAACATTTGAGAGCTTGAGTTGCAAGTCAGGTTTGCTGCTGTCTATTGCGTGCTGTATCGCACTTATTCACGTAGAACTCCGAATACAAGAACATGATCGCTTATTTTCTCACTCAGTGGCACTTTGTGGTCAGATGGAAACACAAATCCTTAGAGCTCAACAGAAAAATGGAAGATGGAAAATCACCGAAAGCAGCCCTTCAGATTTGGGTCAGGAAACGGAAGGTGAGTACTGAGAATTTTAAAAGCGGAAATAGCTAAGCTCTTTGACAAGACCAAGGCCTCTTACCTCTCCTAGTGCAAATATCACTGGTTAATAAAACACTGATAATAGTCACACGTAATCGAGAAAATGATCACCGAAGGAAAATAAAAAAGCCTTGGATTTGAAAAAAATATTTATTGTTGGTACCATAAAAAGGCAAAATTCGTTGTTCAAAACTAAAGTTTAAGGAGATGACCGTTTAAATAACGTTTACTGTTTACCTTGAGCGATTTCTTTACGATATATTATTTATGTTCTACAATCTTTGATAAATGGCTTTTATTTTTGAGGTCAAAAAACCAAATCAAGAAAAAGACGTGCTTTACCCAGTGACTCACAAGCGAAACCGGCAAAAACAGCCTCTGATGTAAAACAGCTGATCAAAGAAGAATTTCGTTTGCTGCAAAATCAAATTTGTACCAAAGATGAAAAGCTTTGTCGACCAGGACCAAAAGGTAACACAGGAAGGCGGGGGAGACGAGGACCCCAAGGCATACCAGGTCCCCGAGGGACAACCGGACCAGCAGGACCTCCCGGCAAACATGGACCAGTAGGACCACAAGGACCAATCGGCAAGGACGGAGTTCGCGGAATGCAGGGTCCCGCGGGACCCCCCGGTCCCAGAGGTCCGCCGGGTAAGAAAGGCGCACCGGGACAATCTATCTCGGCTCCCTCCCTGTTACAACAGCCTGTTGAAACGACAGTCAATGAAAGCCAGACAGCCATCTTGAAATGTACAGCGGTTGGCAATCCTCCTCCCAAGGTCACGTGGTCTAAGGTGAATTCATCACTTCCTGTCGGTCGTCACGTAGTAGAGTCCAGCGGCGCTCTGATTCTTCAGGATGTTACACCTGGAGACAAAGGCCAGTACACCTGCAAAGCTAAAAATTTGCTGGGAAGCATCAACGCAACAGCGAAGCTAACAGTGCAGTGTAAGTTCCAACTTTTTTATTTAAGGCTTTAAGCAATGATGTTTATTTCTCCGTAACACATTTTCTATTTCTTGTCAGTTCCTCCCTCTATTGTACTGTCATCACATCGCCTGATGGTTGAAGAGAAACAAAACCTCACCATCGCCTGCACTGCTACTGGTCAGCCGAAACCCAAAATCACGTGGTCCAAGTCAGTTAACAAACTGCCCAAAGACAGAAACAAAGTGATGAATGGAGCCCTCACAATCTATCATGCAGTAAAAAAGGACGGTGGAACATACATTTGCAAAGCAGACAATATTCTTAGTTCAGCAACAGATACGGCTCAACTCATAGTTTTCTCGCCTCTACGGTTTAAAGTCAAACCTCCTAAAGAAGTGACCCCTGCAATTGGATACACTGTCCATCTACCTTGTATGGCCGAGAGTGACCTGAGACCTGTAATTTCTTGGTCAAAGGATGGCTCTATACTTCCTGTTGGTTCGAGGATTCTTAAAAATAACACTCTTGTACTAAACAACATCAAAAAATCACACAGAGGATCTTATACCTGCAGAGCAACTAATGCCCTCAAAACGATAGAAACAGAAGTTAAAATCAATTTTCCAGTGAGGGCTACTTCCTGTTCTGTTATTAAAAAGAACGTCAGCAGTGTGAGCGGAAATTACGTCATTGATCCAGATGGCGAAGGAGGTCTGGCGCCATTTACAGTTTATTGTGACATGACAACTAAAAATGGAATTGGCGTGACAGTCATCAGTCACGACAGCGAAAGGAGAACATCAGTGAAAGGATATGAATCTCCGGGTACTTATTTACGAGATGTACGTTACGCAAAAGTGAGCCTCTCTCAGCTGGCAAGTCTCACCAGAGTCTCATCGCATTGTGAACAGTTTATCAAGTACGAGTGTTACGGTTCACTTTTGCTTAACAATAAATATGGATGGTGGGTGTCACGTGATTCTACTAAGATGACGTACTGGGGAGGAGCATCTGGCAATGGTAAGTGCGCATGCGGGATGAATAACTCGTGTGCAAATCCCAGTAATGGCTGTAACTGTGACAATAATGACAATGTATGGCGTGAAGACAGCGGTCTCCTTACTGATAAGACCAAGCTTCCTGTAATACAACTCAGGTTTGGGGATACTGGTGACAGCAAAGAACAAGGTTACCACACACTCGGAAAACTTAAGTGCTTTGGAACAGCATAAAGAAAGGCCTCTTCTTTTGATTTGTAAAAGAAAGTTGAAAACGTTTATTGAACTATTTATAACTTCTAACAGAAATCTGCACATCCTTACGATACAGCTTCTTGCTTCGTTTAGCTGATGCTTTCGTTGTTCATTATATCATAGTTAAAAGAGTGGAATGGTTTTGAAGCTTGTCAGACTCCTTTGTTATATGCTTTTGTGAACTTGAAGGTGTACAAACGTTTATAGCATTCCTTTCATTTCGGTTTTATTGACCAATGAAAACGACTCACTCATTCATTAAGTCACAATTTTTGAGCACGAAACAAAAAAGCTTCCAAAGTAAACTACCGCAAGGTTTTGAGTTTTATCGTTGATGCTTTCCGCCTTTCCTAACCAGTCTTGTCTACTAACTATGAATATAACGATCAAATCTTATTTCACATGTTTAAGCACCACCTTACCGGAAATAGTACCTGACAGCAATAACCTTATGGTTTTTACTGATTTATTTCATTTTTCGTGTAAAATACAAAGCAGAGACAATGTGTGAATGGATCATAAACTAATCTTTCTAATGTGCACTCAAAAACGCTGATAAGTCTCAAGGAGCAATTTCGAGGAGCAAGGGTGGCGCAGTGGTGACAGCACTCGCTTCCCACCAATGTGGCCAACCCCGGGTTAAAATCCTGGCGTCGACGCCACCTGTTGGTTGAGTTTGTTGTTGGTTAGCCTGCGAAAACATCTGTTTCTCCTCGCCCTTCGCCGCTGGGGACGTTTCGCGCAGAGAAACGTCTGCGATTTAGCGGCGGAAATTCCATACTGATGACGCAAATCAATTTTTACATAATAATTGCGGTAGTCATGGGTTTCCAAATATAAACTTGTCGAATGTTACGTGTCTTCTGGTCGATTTTGGTAAGGTGTTGTGTCCATCCGCCAACGAGCTCCAGCGAAACTCAAATGCTTCTTCTAGAGAAGACTATATTTCACAAATATTGATTCTTTATTGAGATTCTTCGCGTTTACATTTGACCTTTGTGGCCTTTTGTCTGTCATTCGTAAACAATAGCTAAAACAATGTAACTACTCCGTCGACCAATCAGCGCTTCTGACCAGATTCCGAAAAGATTTTACGTCATCAGTACGGAATTTCTGTCGCTGAGTCGCAGATGTTCCTTCGCGCGAAACGTCCCCAGCGGCGAAGAGTGAGGAGAAACGGATGTTTTCGGCTAGTTGTTGGTTTTCTCCCCTGCTTCGGACATGAGAGGTTTTTTCTCCGGGTACTCCGGTTTTGCCCTCTCCTCAAACACCTACACTTTCAAATTCGATCTGGAACGCACGGACACTATAAAAAGACTTCTTCAGAGCTCCCACACGTGCTTTGTGGATGAATGAATTACAATACAATGCACGAGTAAGAGATATTTGACAAGTTTTCTTAGGCCGTGTAAATTAGACAACTTCACAAGTATTTTACCTTCTCAACGAAAAACCTGGTGGGCAAAACTTGTTCGTGTAGAGACCTATAAAATTATAAAACTTAAGAATACAGAAACGTTTGTCCATAGCTGCCACTACCAGGATAATAAAGCTCTCTGAATAGGTAAGGTACTGGCTATGTAGTGTGATCATTGACTTAAACCAGTAGTGTAACAGTATTGTTTAAACTTAAATGGCAGTCATACGTTTTCAATCAGAACGTTCAGTATTCAACTAATGAAATCTCTCGAAAATAGCACAATAGTTTACAAGAATAGTTTAGCTGAACAAAGTTCTGTACGAATAAATATTAAACTCTATTCACTATTGACTTCATTCACATTGAATGAGTAATTCCAATACGCACGTACAATCGATTGTCGGGGCCGCGACTTGCTAAGGTCCAAGAAATTTTCCCGCCTTTCGCTGTTATGGAGGTTTTTCTCCTAACAAAGGAAGGAATTCAAGACCCAGATTGGAACCAAAGCCCTCCTTATGATAACCGCCCTCTCCTAACCACTACGCAACTACACCGACCTGCCAAAATTTCTCAAAAAAGTACGCACAAATAATAATTTTAAAACTGTTTTTTATAGCTGATACATCTTTAACTGGTGCCACAAGCCCTTTCTCCAAATAGTTCTACATGTCGTAAATTCAATATTGGCTCACAGTTTGTTCTTACTAAGACTATTTACAAATCTATTTTTCGCCTTATCGTAACTTCATCCAAATCAAATCTCACATCTAGCATTTCTGCAGGCGTCATTACTAATCAACCGTTAAAATGACATCGCTAAATGGTCGCCGTCGACAGAGTCAAAAGAGATGCCTGCTAGAATTCATAAAATAAAGATTATCTGAGGTCGACAACATCAGGTTTTTAAATCAGGTATGGGCCTTTCATAGTCACTATAATCTCTCGGGGGACAAGTCGTACACCGAGTGGCCCAATAGCACTATGACCGAGCGGAAGAATAAGGCCTAAAGTAGACAAATGCGTTTATTTAAGAAACACAACGTAACGGTTCAGTGGCGTGACTGGTAATATGCACATGCGCAATACGTGTCCCCAAATAACCACAACCTAATCTGTCACGTCCTTGATTAACTTTTCTAATAAATTCATCAAAAACTACATGCAAAGGTGTTAACAACAAACAAATCAACAAAAAAAATTAAATGTATAAACCTGTGCAAGACGTGTTCCCCACAGTTCGTAAATTATAAACTCTATTTCACCTTATTATGACCAGTGATTTCCTGTTGCACTAATACATGTATCGTACATTAAGCTAAGATAACTCCCGGCACTTGTCGTTTCATCATATCAATCATATTTGTCAGAGATATAAATAGATTGTGTAGGAAAGCGATTATCAAAGGCCAAGTTGGAAAGCCGTTTGAGTGTGAGGTCCCTGCTTCACTTGGTCTTGGTTACGTAGTAGTCCTAACCAAGCGGTTTTATCATGAAACAAGTAAGATCAGAGGAGAGGAATTTAAGCAGAGTTACAAAAACTGACAGTGTGTGTTGCAAGTCAGCTTTGCTGCTGTCTATCGCGTGCTGTATTGCACTTATTCACGTAGAACTTCAAATACAAGAACATAATCGCCTATTTTCACACTCACTGGCTCGCTCTGGTCAAATGGAAACGGAAATCTTTCGAGTTCAACAGAAAAATGAAAGATGGAGAATAACCGAAAGCCGCCATTCAGATTTGGGACAAGAGACGGAAGGTGAGTACTGGAAAATACGAGAGCAAAGATAGCTGGCTTTTTGCCAGGAACAAAGTGAATCGTTTTAGGCCTAACGATAAGCAGTATTATAAGCTGTAACGCTTGTTACGTTGGCAAAACAAACCGACACTTTTCCACGCGCGTGCATGTCATCGGACAGATCGTCTCACGGAGTCTAGGTACATTAAGTGGGAAAAGCCTCACCTTAATCAACAGGTGAAACACATCAATCTGACGCTTTCTCTATAGTTGCGTGCACGCGCATCTATTAATTTTGTTAACTTTAAATTTATGTAGCGTATTGATTTCCAACGCTAATTATAAAATAACTGAGATAGTACGCGCGTTCTGATTGGTTAAAAACCTATAGTTTTTATTGCGCTGGTAAACTCATATAAAACCTCAAGTTATTTTATAAAAGCAATAGACCACACTTTCTATGGGTCAACCGGCGTGATAACCCACTTGGGATGTTGGGAGAACACTCGAAAAGCTTGTAAATCACGAGTCGAATTAACTCGTGTTGTCCCAACATCCCGCGTGGGTTATCACGCCGGTAAACCCATAGAAATTGTGGTCTATTGCTTAAGTAACGTATACTGTACATTGTAACAGGCATGTTTTAAAAGCTGTAAACTTTCATAACCGTCACACTGACGATGACGGATGTACCGTCGAAACATGTTTGTTAAAATTAAAAAAATCGTACTATTTTTTATAATTTTTTGCTGCTGTCACGATCATTTGGAGCAGTTATTAAATATCTCCTTTCAAAAGCATTGTTTTTTTAATCAAACACAAAGGTCAAGCAAAAAAGAGGAGATAGAGATCAGAGATAAAACGTTTTTGTAAATTGTACTCTAAGTATAGATAGGCTCTTCTTGCCCACTCAGGCAGCTAACCAAGACAGAGAATTAGTTTGGTCCTTCCGGGTCGCCGACCCTGCCATAGTGAACATCAATTCTTTTATTGGCATTTGCGTCACTGGTTGTTACTGAAGTTTTTTCAATAAACACGGTTTGTGATCTAATTTCTCTCATAAGGTCAGGAAAGTTCGTCACGACAAAAACGGGCTTCATCAGATGACTCACAAGCGAAACCGGTCAAAACAGCTTCTGATGTAAAACTGCTCATTAAAGAAGAACTTCGTCTGCTGCAGAATCAAATCTGTGCCAAGGATGAAAAGCTCTGTCGTCCAGGACCAAAAGGTAACACTGGAAGACGGGGAAGACGAGGACCCATAGGTATACCGGGCCCCCGAGGGAGACCTGGGCCAGAAGGATCACCTGGTAAACATGGACCAATAGGACCAAAGGGACCAACGGGTATAAAGGGGGATCGCGGACTGCAAGGTCTGCCAGGACCCCCCGGCCCCAGAGGTCCGCCTGGTGAGAAAGGCGCACCGGGACAATCCATATAGGCTCCCTCCCTGTTACAGCAGCCTGTTCAAACGACAGTCAATGAAAGTCAGACAGCCATCTTGAAATGTACAGCAAATGGAAATCCACCTCCCAAGGTCACATGGTATAAGGCTAACTCATCACTTCCCGTCGGGCGTCACGTGGTAGAGTCCAGTGGTGCTCTAATTCTTCAGGATGTTAGACCAGGAGACGAGGGCCAATACACCTGCAAAGCTGAAAATTTGCTGGGAAACATCAACGCCAGCGCGGAGCTAAAAGTGCAGTGTAAGTTGCGTCTTTTTCTTCAAAACTTTTTTAAAAAAGATGTCCCCCTTCTTAATGCTTTTTCTGAAATGTTTCTATGAGTATTTTAACGGACACCTAGAGTTGGTCCTTCACCCTCCTCTTCAGTTATTTCCTTTGACCATCTTTATAACTTGCACGCCTCCTTAAAATGACAATTAGTATTGGTCGCAGCGGTGTTCACTGTATCAATAGTTTGCTTGCAGAATGAAATTTATGTACTATTTCTTGCCAGTTCCTCCTTCTATTGTATTGTCATCAAATCGCCTGATGGTTGAAGAGAGACAAAACGTCACTATTGCCTGCATTGCTACTGGTCAGCCACAACCCGAGATCACGTGGTCAAAATTGGGAGGAACATGGCCAAAAGGAGGAAATGAAGTGACGAATAGAACCTTAATAATCTACAATGTGGCAAAGATGGATGCTGGTACATACAGCTGCAAAGCAGAGAATATTGTAGGATCAGCAAAAGACACAGTTCAACTCGTCATATTCTCTCCCCTGCGATTCAAAGAAAGACCTCCTAAAACTTTGATTCCTGTGGTTGGTTCCACCGTTCGTCTACCGTGCCTGGCCGAGAGTGACCTAAAACCTACCCTCACTTGGACAAAGGATGGCTCTTCGCTTCCTGTTGGTTCAAGGATTCTTCAAAACAACACTCTAGTTCTTGGCAGCATAAAAAAATCACACAAAGGATCTTACACCTGCAGAGCGAGTAATCCTTTGACAACAATAGAAGCCAAAGTCAAAATCAATTCTGCAGTAAGTGCGGCTTCCTGTTCTGTGATAAGAAAACACGTCAGCAGTGTAAGCGGAAATTACGTCATTGATCCAGATGGTGAGGGAGGTCTGGCACCATTCACCGTTTATTGTGACATGACGGCTAAAAATGGAATTGGCGTGACAGTCATCAGTCACGACAGTGAAAGTAGAACATCGGTGAAAGGATATGAAAGTATTGGTGCTTACTCACGAAATGTTCGATACAAAGGAGCGAGTGTATCTCAGCTGGCGAGTCTCACTAGAGTTTCCTCGCACTGTGAACAGTTTGTCAAGTATGACTGTTATGCTTCGGTTCTGCTTTACAATAACGATCCACGTGGATGGTGGGTGTCACGTGATTCTACCAAAATGAGATACTGGGGCGGAGCATCTGACAATGGTAAGTGCGCATGCGGGATGACTAAGTCGTGTGCAAATCCCAGTTATGGCTGTAACTGTGACAAGAATGACTATGTATGGCGTGAAGACAGCGGTCTCCTCACTGACAAGACCAAGCTTCCTGTAATACAGCTCAGGTTTGGCGATACTGGCGGCGGGGCCGAACAAGGTTACCATACACTTGGAAAACTTAAGTGTTTTGGAACAGTATAGATAGATGATAGTTGTTGTGATTCCAAACCGGAAAAGTAAAAAAAGGATGCGTAACCTTAATAGTTTCATAAAGAAATCTGCAGACTAACAGCCATGTTTTACATATACAGTAAATACAATAAAAACCTGGTCGCAATTCCGTAGGTTAGCTCTTCTCGCTTTTTTTGCTGATATTTATGGTAAACAAACTGTCATGTTTAAACTTATCCATAAAACGCTAAATTCTTTCCACGAGAATTAACACCAACCGAAAATCGAGACATGGCACTGATAACCCTGTCTTTTTTCCTAGTACTGAAGTATGGATATCATTGTTTAAACCTGCGTTCGAAAGTCTTGCAGGTCGTGTTAGAGAGTAGTAAGCAATAGTTTAATAAATATTTTTACGTAATTTGAAAATTACTGTCACTGTTGTCGACGGCTGCTACTACCGGGGCTGAGTGCATGCGTGAGATTCTGACTATTATTGTGTGAATGCTTTCATGGAAAAGAGATATTATTACTCTTGTTTGTTATTCACAGAGAGGTATCAAGCCAATCAAAACAAGAACGCTCACAGCCTAGACCGAATGACCATTTATGTACCTTAAAATAAACACCTCACCAAAAGATTTGGAGGTGTCATGCATAAAGATAAAAGGTGTTAAAGTTAAGCCCTGTTTAATCTCCTATTTTAATGTGCAATTTATAAAGTTTAAATACTTTTGCATTAAAAGCGATCCAAAATTTCATTGTGTGTTGGTTAAACGACTTGTGGCGTGACAATACGCAGAAGAGAAGCTTATTAAAACCTTTGAATGCAGAGGTCCACTCAACACGTAAATAAAACCGACTGATTCTTTCTTGTCGGATCTCTAATCTAGAGACGCTAATACCAGACGTCACTTGAAGTGGGAATTAAAACAAAACTGAATGCAAGGCTGGCAATACGACAAAGGGGTGATTTATTTGAGGCCAATATTTCGGCTAACAAAATTAGCCTTCTTCAGGACCACGGCTTGTTATATTTTGTATTTTTAAGATCCTTTGAGGTCGAAAACATACCTTTTTCAAATCAGGAGTGTGCCTTCCGTCATTCCTCAATGCAAAAGTCTTCATACTCAAGCATCGTCACGCCACGCGCACCACGTGACCCTGTAGGAATATGGCAGCGCGAAGGAATGAGGGCTAAGGGATTTATCAACAGTGGGTAAATGCAAGACAAAACGAAACAAAATGAGCGGAAGGTAATGGGCACGTGAGCTTTAGGAGTTGTAAAGCCGCGTCTGTCACGTCTGTAACCTACTTTTTCTAATATCTTCCTCAGAAAAGACAAGCAAACAGACAGACAAGCTTTCAAGTGTATGTGTTGAAGGTTATATCAGTTCTCAGGTTAAATCACAATTTTTGTCTCCTATGGATAATTAGGGCCTAGAAACAAAAAGAAAATACTGACGAAAATTCGGTTGAATCCTTGTCAGAAATGAGAACGGAGTTTACCTACAACATAAACCTGTGGTTAGTTTCTTTACATCTTTAGGCAAGAGCAAATCCATGGACTAAGAGAGGCATTGGGGTTTCGCTGGGTAGATATTGCAAGGATGCTAGAAATGTCTCCGAGGACACTTAGTCCGCAGAGGTAAGAATTTGGTATGCCACTCGATCAACAGCATAATTTTTCCTCCTGGTTCGACACCTGGACAATATTGTGAGAAGCATTCTCTCAGTTACTCCACTGTGAATTCTACGTAATACTTGACTTTTCTGTATTGCCTTCATAATGAAAGTCACTGTTTACTGTTGCAAGTGATTGTAATCTGGAGTTCATTATCTGTATTAAAAGTTCCAAATCCTGAGTAAGTTGATTCTGCTGCAGTAGTCCTGGGCTGACTCCGTAACTCGACCATGCATCACCCGCAAATTGCGTTTATATTCCTCTAGACGCCTTGCAAGAAATTCTGCGTGCCCCCTCATCGGTATTTTCTTTCACACAGTCTTCGCAGTGCTGCAAAAGTGAGATCAAACCTTCGAAAAATTCATTTACATTTGGAATATAGAAACGATTAGAAGCCATCTTGAATTCCAACTTGTGTTCTCGTTTTAATTACCTCTCGGAAACAGAAATGATCAAAAACTGTCGTCTATTTTCTTGATTTAAAGAACAAGCATCTTGATTTACAAAAATTATCTCTTGATACATGACAAGAAACACGCGGGAATTAAAATTAAATTCTATAATCTTGACAAATTCAAAAAGCAAGTTGATGCTAATTGTATCGATCTTGATAGTGAATTTGTGGATTTGAATTATAAAGTTGCATCTTTGATATTTTGTCACTTTTGGCGTAGCATAGATGCCCATTAATATTTACAAACAAATTCATGATACCAAACGGGTTTTAAACGTTTGTAATCGAAAGATTCTACATCTATACTGCCTTGACGGAAAAAATTACAATTAATTCTCCAAAACCTACCCTGACGTTTACAGTAAAAAACCTTAGGCACTAAATCGAAATTTTTTCTACATATTTTCATGTGAATATTTCATTCATTGTCCATTTCTCTTTCTAAGCCAAGTTTTGCAAATGACTCACACTCGCAATGCAAGAAAAATCTAAAAAGGGACAGCTAGTAAAAAAATAACGAAAGCTCCGGATTTCTCTAATGGGCCTCTTCCGAGTTCGTAAAACTGTTATTCTTAGAACGAGGCTAAGTGCAAAACCCTTTCTTGTGAAAATGAGTTATATTTGCATGAGAATAAAGGAACATTTTCATATCAATGGCTTCGGACTTAGCCTCGCTTTGAAACAGAGGCTTGGAGCAACTCAGGAATGGCCCATTGCATGGACGATCACATCCACGGAGTCCAGGCCCCATTCTCCTTTGCTACTTGTCGCGCCTTCGGGTCACCTGGTTTATTAGCAGGAGGTAACGCACCACTCATGTACGACTGCACTCGATCTTGGAACTTCTCTACCATATCCGGGAACTTTTTGCTGAGGTCGTACTTCTCATATGGGTCAGCGGTGATATTGTAGAGGGCTACATCGACAAGGGGAACTGGAGGCTAAAAAATATATAAAAGTCTTGGTACTAAACGTAGCAAAGAAAAATATTAGATTCTACAGCTTGACTTTTAACAAAACAACAAACACATTTTCCACATTGGTCATATCGCGCAGAAATAGTGGACATCATTATATTAGTTATTTTTTGACCACCCAGGCGAGCAATTCAAATGTACGAGCGCTTTGAACAAGCTCCGAATAAAATAAGAAAGGGTCTCATTTGGCCCATCAGCGTTGATAAGACTCATTCGCGCAACTTCATAGCTCTAAAATCACAAATCCACGGACTGAATAAACTGCAACTCAGTCCGTATTCAGTTTCAGCGAAAACGGACGTAATAAAGGAACTGAAAAATTGTAAATAAGCTAGGAGAATGAGTCTGAGCATGTCTTACTTTGTGACCAGTCTCACTTGTGGAAGATTTCAGAGGATCGAGTGGAAACTTGGGAACGAGCTTTTGAAAGCGAAAGGCACCATGGAAAGATTTGGTTGACCCTTTCCATGGCCCGTCTGTTTTCCGTTTTGTTTTGTTTGTTTGTCTGTTTGTTTTGAGGGGAAACAGAGAGAACTGCAAGCAAGCAACCTGGAAGCAAATATTGGCCACAAAGAATACCCGAGGGGACTCCAAATGAAAGCTGTGTATGTCAAACATATCACACCACGTAAGGGAATCCGGATTCTGAAATGTAGGAAAATTTTTGCCTTAGAATCCGAAATCCTGAGCGTTGGAATCTGGAATTTAGCTTAAGGAATCCGGAATCCCGCTAACAATCCACCGCACCGTACCTAAAAAGATGGCGACTGGTACATGTACCCACAGTTCTTAGCGCATGAAAACCATAAAATTGATCATAAAAACGCACAGAAAAGTTTTATAAACTTCAAACCTAGGACAGGCAATGTTGCTATTACAGGAACAAATTTCGCCTCCCCTCCCCCCCCCCCAATAAAATATGACTTTATGTGTAATTGGCCGTGTTAGGTTCGAAAGGAATTGTGGTAAAATATACAGCCGCCATCTTTTTCCGTAGGGCGGATTGGAATCTAGAATCCAAGTTCTAGTACCTGGAATCCGGAATCCTCGACATTGAGTCCAGAATCCAAGAATGTCTTGGACTCCCGGCCCTTACATGGGGCGATACATAACATAGCCAGTGGACAAAGGACTAATATATCTTCAAGAACTAACTTACACCTTCAAACTCGTACAAATACACTTCATTTCCTTGAGAAGAATTCCGTTCTTCAGGTGGTATGAAGTAAGAGATGTTAGGGACCCCCATGAGAAGTTTCATGTCTCCAACACGAAGACCAATTCCTTGATAAGCAAAGTCCAACTGGTGTGGAACAGAAGGAGTGTCTACGTTATGAAGAATCTCTGTGCGAGGTGAAGGCTCACCATTAGAAATTGCCTTCCATACATCGTGACCATCAAGGGCAGCGAGTTCCTCCTGATCCAATTGCCCACCTAAAATATATTGTACCCGACAGACAAGTGAGTTTGTTGACATGAGATGTTAACCTTTTAAAAATATAAAACTGTTCTAGTGAGGCCTTAAACTGCTGTTTAAAAAGTAAAATCCAAAATCCAAGCTTTCACTGATCAACGGCATCATCAGGGATGAGAAAATGTTCCGGGCGCGCATTTATATATGCAAAGAAGGTGTGGGGTGAAATGTGTAAAAAGATGTGACGTATGTATGAAAGCTATAGGAATAAATAAACTGTGAATGGAATAGTACGCTCTCATGATGGAATGTCTCAAGAAAAAGCACCTCTTAGATAAAATCGAGAAGACCTCCTGGGCTCCTGGGTCAAAAGCACTGTAGCCATATACTCACCAGCCAGATTAACTAAGGTTGGATACCAATCAGTCACGTGAATAAGTCCTGTACAATTCACTCCTTTCCTGGAGAGAATGTCACCATGTACGAACCCTACCCCTCTGATTCCTCCTTCCCATAGAGTGTCTTTTCTTCCCCTCAGGGGGTAGTCGTATCCACCGTTTTTAGGCACTCCACCGTTGTCAGTGCTGAAGATCATAAGAGTGTTCTCCCACAACCTTAAAAACAAGATAAATAAAAGAATCGTTGGTTTCTGTTCACTAAAAAGAAATAATAGAGAGCTTTAGATTCGAGGACGTGGACTACGAGTATATGAGATTTTCTCAATACTAAGTATTGCGCACTCGTGAGCCGGCGTCATTTTGGCGGGAAAGCGTTTGTATACATGTATGTATGTACGCAAATCTTTATTTATACACGGAAAATCATCAGTTAAGCTTAAGTTAAAAACTAAAACTAACGGGGAAACGTGATAGCCGTCGCCATTGTACAACCTTCAGTATAAATAAGCGTACTAACTTTTTGGTGAAAATGAAGCATTCAGGGATGTATTTTTTTAATTTCGGGAACACGCGCAAAAACTTTAAGTTAAATCTCGTACTCGTACTCGATCTCGTCCTAAAATCTAAAGCTCTCTACTTCCGATCACATTTGCAATTGATCATTGCGAGCAATGACAGTTTTTGTCGTTTTAGTTCCCCGGTTCGTCGCTAACATGAACCCGGGGGAGGGGAAGGGGAGTATTTCGGAGTTTTTAGTGACGGGGATGATCGAAAAAGGCGCTGAGGTAAAATAAATACTCCTGTGAAGTTCTTAAACAAACGAAACAATTGCGAAAAAAGGACGCTTTCTGTGCAATAAATTTAGTGAACACGTGCCATATATTTTGATTTTTAACTATAATTTGATTTAACTTTTGAAACAATTTCCTGTTGTAGTTTTAAACTTTCTTCCGATCAAGCTAAAGCAATTCCCTTTCGGGTAACACGCGACTCGTTTATCTTAATGCCAGGTCACTTTTGTTTCCTTTAGCGCTAACACAAATAAATGGGTTTAGCTCTCGGGTTAAATTACAATCAGCAAAGGTCAGACTTCCTGAATCTCTTCGTGCCTTTACTGAGGTGTTAAAAGCATTTTAAAAAGCCCTCACTCAGTAAATGGAAAGTTGTGAGCCTGCAAAGAGACGTTCAACATGAAATCGCCGACAGAAAACACGCACACAAACGGAAGAAAAACATTCATTGGTTTGTGTTCCACCTCCTGCTTCCTACTGTCTGTCGTTTGCTGTATCGCACTGTTTCACGTGGAATTCAGAATACACGAGCATCGTCGACTCATATCACAGTTGGAAACATTCCGTCAAGAGATTCAAAGAGAAGTCGCTCAAGTTAAACTGGATTGTAAAAAAGGGAGAGTAACCAAAAGTAACCATCCCGACTTTTGGCAAAATACAAAAGGTGGGTGAAAACGAACAGAAAGTGGATATAGGTGACTTTTTGCTAAGCCATGATTTATCCTTTCACGTGGTTTAACTAGTAAACATCGTCGGAGAAACCAAGTTTTTCAGTTACGTATTGGAATCAACTACAGAATACAGGGCCATATTTTAAGTTTTAAAGAACACAGAAAGGGATATATCTTAGTGGCTCGGTGGCTCGTCATTCGAGGTTAGCATCTTAAAGAACGAGAAAGTCATACCGCAAAATTCCGAAAATAAGCCCCGGGGCTTATATAATTCTAAGGCACTTATTGAGGGGCTTATCTACGGAGGGAAATTTGCGTTTCAAAATCGATTGGGCTAGCCGTATACTTGGAAGTAAATTTACCGTTTTTGCTTTGTTTTACTTTGTATTTGAGAGCAATTTTGCAAGTACAAGCCCCCCCCCCCTCCCCCCGGGGGGGCTTATATTTGGAGGGGCGATTTAACGGAGGGTTTTTTGCGTTACCGGATTGGGGGGCTTATACATGGAGGGGCTTAATTTCGGAATTTTACGGTATTTTAGTGGCTCGCGGGCTCCGTTCCAACGAATATACCTAGAAAATTGGCCCTGTATTCTCTATTCTGTTATTTAGCTTTTCAAAAAACTGTGCGAGCTTATATGTAGTTCCTATATTCTAATATTAGAACACTACGCACATTTTTCAAGGTCGCAAAGTTATATACAGAGAAAAACGTGATTCATCAGATGCCTCTCAAAACAAATCGGTTACAAAAGCCTCCGAAGTAAAAAAGCTGATCAAAAAAGAGCTTCGCCTGTTGCAGAATAAAATCTGTGCCAAAGATGAAAAGCTCTGTCAACCAGGACCAAAAGGTAACACTGGAAGGCGGGGAAGACGAGGACCCCAAGGCATACCGGGCCCCAGAGGGAGATCCGGCCCAGCAGGGCCTCCCGGTAAAAATGGATCAATAGGACCACAGGGACCAATGGGTATAAAGGGGGATCGCGGATTGCCAGGTCTGCCAGGACCTCCTGGTCCCAGAGGTCCGCCTGGTGAGAAAGGTGCGCCGGGACGATCCATCTCAGCTCCCTCCTTGTTACAGCCTCCTGTTGAAACGACAATCAATGCAAGTCTGACAGCCATCTTGAAATGTACAGCGGCTGGAAATCCTCCTCCCAAGGTCACATGGTTTAAGGTGAACTCAACACTTCCTGTCGGACGTCACGTTGTAGACTCCAGTGGCGCTCTGATTCTTCAGGATATTAGACCCGAAGACGAGGGCCAGTACACCTGCAAAGCTGAAAATTTGATGGGAACCATCAACGCCAGCGCACGGCTAACAGTGCAGTGTAAGTTGCATTAATTTCATTCTTCAAGATTTCAAGACGTTTTTTTTATCTCTTTCTAATACATTTTCTGACATGCTGTAGGAGTATTCTAACGGACACTTACAGCTAGTCCCTTCTTGCCGTTCTTCAGTTACTTTCGCTGACTTTCATTATAAGATACACAACTCTCTAAAACAATCGGTCAGCAATGATCGCAGCGGTGTGATGCAGTATTTTGTTTGCAGAATAAACGTGTTTTCTACTTCTTGCCCATTCCACCCTTTATTGAATTGTCATCACTTTACCTGATCGTAACGTAACGTAAATGAAATATAAAGAAAAACAATAGTATAAAGCTATGCCGGTGAATTTGATTCATTAGTCATGACCTTTTTAAAGGAACTGCGGAGAAGTCTTAATCATGAGGAAACAAGTTTACTTTGATCTTGAGGGTCACTGTAAGTGTTCTCCTAAAATAAACCATTTTCCTTGGCATTGGCTGCATACGATTGGTGAACTACAAAAAAAATAGCCATTTAGAAGTCTAATTTTTAAAGAATGTTCACGTTCGCTTACTGATAGAGGTGACCGCTGAATAGGGGTCAAGTTTAAAACAAATAAAGGGGGCAAATTTCGAGTATTTGATGAGTACTATTTTTTTGCCGGTGCACGTTGCCGTTGTGCAAAGGTGTCGTAAGAGAAGGTTCGACTATATTTGCTAAAAATTCTACGATATTATAATAGCAGAGAGTATTCTGTCACCAGATTAAAAGCGATTTATCTGTTTCTTGCCAGTTGGTCCCCAGATATTATTGTCATCAAATCGCCTGATGGCTGAGCAAAAGCAAAACTTCACCATCACCTGCACTGCCACTGGTCAGCCTCAACCCAAGATCACGTGGTCCAAGGTAGGAGGAGATTTGCCAAAAGGAAGAAGTGAGGTAATGAAAGACGCTCTGACAATCTATCAAGTGACAAGAAACGACGGTGGTATATACACGTGTAAAGCAGATAATATCCTGGGAACAGCGACAGATATGGCTCAGTTGATGGTTTTTTCGCCTCTTCGGTTCAAACTTCGACCACCTCAAGAACTGACTCCTATGGCTGGCTCAACTGTTCGCCTACCTTGTGTAGCCGAGAGTGACCTGAGACTTACCATAACTTGGACAAAGGATGGATCCCTACCTCCTTTTGAATCAAGAATTCTTCAAAACAACACTCTAGTTCTAAACAGCATCAAAATATCACATAAAGGATCTTACACCTGCAGAGCGAGTAATCCTTTGTCAACAATAGAAACCAAAGTAAAAATCCATTCTCCAGTTACACTTGCTTCCTGTTCTGAGATCAGAAAACACGTCAGCAGTGTAAGCGGAAATTACGACATTGATCCAGATGGCGAGGGGGGTCTGGCACCATTCACTGTTTATTGTGATATGACAGCTAAAAATGGAGTTGGGGTGACAGTCATCAGTCACGACAGTGAAAGCAGAACATACGTGAAAGGATATGAGGCTAAGGGAAGTTACTCGCGTGACATTCGTTACACAGGAGCGAGTCTTTCTCAGCTGGCAAGTCTCACCAGAGTGTCCTCGAATTGTGAACAGTTTATCAAGTATGAATGTATAGGTTCCACCTTCCTTCAAAATGGCCAGTTTTATGGATGGTGGGTGTCACGTGATTCCGCCAAGATGACGTACTGGGGAGGAGCATCTCGTTATGGTAAGTGCGCATGCGGGATGACTAACTCATGTGCAAACCCCAGTTATGGCTGTAACTGTGACAAGGAATCCTATGCATGGCATGAGGACAGCGGTCTGCTCACTGACAAGACGACGCTTCCTGTAAAACAACTCAGGTTTGGGGATACTGGTAGCAAAGGAGAACAAGGTTACCACACGCTCGGAAAACTAAAGTGCTTTGGAACCGCATAAATAGATGCTAGTTCTTGTGACTCCAAACCCGACAAGTAAAAAAAAATATGTGTAACCTTAAAAGTTCATAAAGAAACCTGGAGAGAGACTGACAGCGATCCTTGTTTTACATGTACAGTAAATACAATAGCCCACTCCGAGGCTGTAGGGTCAAAATTGCAAATTTCTCACGACTCCATTGTCTCGCAATTCCCAGAAGAGACTTGAGGACAAAGAAAACCAAACCAAATGTAGAAAAATGACCAGAAAGCCTCGGAGTCATGTTAGAATTTTAATATATCGAACGTGAGCTATTAAAACCCGGTCGAACATCCGTAGGTTAGCTCTTCTCGCATTTTAACTGATGTTTATTGTAAACAACCTGTCACGGTTCAACATATTCATCAAACTCTAAATTCTTTTCACGAGAATTAACACCAACCGAAAATAGGGACATGGCACTAATAACTCTGTCTTTTTCCCCTGGTACTAAAGTATCGATATGATTGTTTTAACCTGTTTTCGAAAGTCTTGCAGGTCGTGTAGGAGAGTAATAAGCAATAGTTTAATAAATGTTTTTTATGTCTTCTGAAAAATCCTGTCACTGTTATCCACGGCTGCTACTACCGGGGCTGAGCGCATGTGTGAGTTTCTGACTATTATTGTGTGAATGCTTTCTTGGAAAGATATATTATTACTCTTGTTTGTTATTCACATAGAGGTATCAAGCCAATCAAAACAAGAACGCTCACAGCCTAGACCGAATGACCATTTATCTACCTTAAAAAAAAAAACCAAAAGATTTGGAGGTCCCATGCATAAAGATAAAAGGTGTTAAAGTTGGCCTGTTTAATCTCCACTTTTAATGTGCAATTTATAAAGTTTAAATACTTTTGCATTAAAAGCGATCCAAAATTTCAGTGTGTGTTGGTTAAGCGACTTGTGGCGTGAAAATAGACAGAAGAGAAGCTTATTAAAACCTTTGAATGCAGAGGTCCACTCAACACGTAAATAAAACCGACTGGTTCTTTCTTGTCGGATCTCTAATCTAGAGATGCTAATGCCAGAGGTCACTTGAAGTAAGAATTAAAAAAAAAATGAATGCAAGGCTGGAAATACGACAAAGGGGTGATTTATTTGAGGCCAATATTTCGGCTAACAAAATTAGCCTTCTTCAGGGCCACAGCTTGTTATATTTTGTATTTTTAAGATCCTTTGAGGTCGAAAACATAACTTTTTCAAATCAGGTGTAGGCCTTCCGTCATTCCTCAATGCAAAAGTCTTCATACTCAAGCATCGTTACGCCACGCGCACCACGTGACCCTGCAGGAATATGGGAGCGCGGAGGAATGAGGTCTAAGAGATTTACCAACAGTGGGTAAATGCAAGACAAAACTAAACAAAATGAGCGGAAGGTAATGGGCACGTGAGCTTTAGGAGTTGTAAAGCCGCGTCTGTCACGTCTGTAACCTACTTTTTTTAATATCTTCCGCAGGAAAGACAAGCAAACAGACAGACAAGCTTTCAAGTGTATGTGTTGTAGGTTATATCCGTTCTTAGGTTAAATCACAATTTTTGTCTCCTTTGAATAATTAAGGCCTAGAAACAAAAAGAAAATACTGTCGAAAATTCGGTTGAATCCTTGTCAAAAATGAGAACGGAGTTTACCTACAACATAAACCTGTGGTTAGTTTCTTTACATCATCAAGTGACGAAACAAAGCAAATCCTGAACTTCCTACTGTGCAATAATCTTCCCATGATAGTGTGAAACGTGACCTTGGACTTGGAGTTAGCTTAAACAACAGAGGTCCTCTTTTTCCTTCTTTCAATTCTATGCAGTACACGGAGAATTTTACAATCTGACTGAGCAAATCTTAGTTTGCCGCTCTGAGTTTAACGCTTAGAGGTCATGAAGCTGGTCTGTTTCATTCTTTTTGAGTAATTATTTCCTGTGGTCTGGAGCGCGATGTCCTACTGTTCCTCCGTTCGCAATTCCTTTTGTACTAACTTGATAGTCTATGCGACTGTACTGGTAGTGCATTTTTTTGTTACAAGTGCCTAAAGCAAGACTGCAGTTTCGGAATTAAAAGATACCTTGTCTAAGGGACGGACCATTTGAAAACTTATGGGGGGGCGGGCGAAGTACAAAAAAGAAATTTCGCGCAAAAGAAAATTAAATTTAAAAAATATTCATGCTATGGCCTAAAAAAAATTCATACCAGGAATTTGATGACGAAAAAAAATTCCTGCTCCTCGAAAATCCCCCCCCCCCATAACTTTTCTAATGGTCCGTCCCTAAGGTCACGTTTATTTTTGTTCAGCCTGTCAACACTATTTCAAACCGGATATTTTCTTTAGCGCGTTCAGCCAACAACAAAAGGTTTTCTGTTTTGGAAAGCTAATAGCCAATCAGAAAATACGTACCATATTCGCAAAAGTAGGTGACGTCAGTGGACAACGCTCGGAATTCAGTCGTCTCTCTACCCCGCACCCCCCCCCCACGGATTACGAGGTGGAGACGTGTGACATTTCAGACTATCGCCGGCCTCTCTTTAACTTGTCATATCATAATGTCACTCATATTTGTTAGAGATATAAGTGAATCATTTGTTAGCCGGAGTATCAGGCGTTTCTGGGGGAAAAGGGCTAAAATGAAAGCGAAAAAGGGAGAGGGCTGACGTAGAGAAACGCCCTTCCTTTCTCTTCTCCCCCTCCCCCATCCCCCATCTAATCCATCCCCCATCTCTGATACTCAGGCTAATCATATGATTAGAAAAGCCGTATGTCACGGGCCTGGTTATTTAATTTCTCGAGTTTCACAAAAGACCTTTCCTTCACTGATTTCAAGGGCCATTAACTTACTTGGTCTTTCTGAAAACGTAGGCCCAAAAAGACAGTTTAATCATGAGACAACGGAATGTAGAAGAGAAGCATAAGACTGGAAGTAAAATATTTGAGAGCTTGAGTTGCAAGTCAGGCTTGCTGCTGTCTATTGCGTGCTGCATCGCACTTATTCACGTAGAACTTCGAGTACAAGAGCATCATAACCTGATTTCACACTCAGTGGCATTCTGTGGTCAGTTGGAAACACAAATCCTTAGAGCTCAACAGAAAAATGGAAGATGGAAAATCACCGAAAGCGGCCCTTCAGATTTGGGGCAAGAAGCGGAAAGTGAGTACTGAGAATTTTAAAAGCGGAAATAGCTAAGCTCTTTGCCAAGACCAAGGCCTCTTACCTCTCCTTGTGCAAATATCACTGGTTAATAAAACACTGATAATAGTCACACGTAAATCGAGAAAATGATCACCGAAGGAAAATAAAAAAGCCTTGGATTTGAAAAAAATGTTTATTGTTGGTACCATAAAAGGGCAAAATTCGTTGTTCAAAACTAAAGCTTAAGGAGATGAACATTTAACTAACGTTTACTGCTTACCTTGAGCGATTTCTTTAAGATATATTATTTATGTTCTACAATCTTCGATAAATGGCTTTTATTTTTGAGGTCAAAAAACCGAATCAAGACAAAGACGTGCTTTACCCAGTGACTCACAAGCGAAACCGGTAAAAACAGCCTCTGATGTACAACAGCTGATCAAAGAAGAACTTCGTTTGCTGCAAAATCAAATCTGTGCCAAAGATGAAAAGCTTTGTCGACCAGGACCAAAAGGTAACACAGGAAGGCGGGGGAGACGAGGACCCCAAGGTATACCAGGTTCCCGAGGGAGAACCGGACCAGCAGGACCTCCCGGCAAACATGGACCAGTAGGACCACAGGGACCAATTGGCAAGGACGGAGTTCGCGGAATGCAGGGTCCCGCGGGACCCCCCGGTCCCAGAGGTCCGCCGGGTAAGAAAGGCGCACCGGGACAATCTATCTCGGCTCCCTCCCTGTTACAGCCTCCTGTTGAAACGACAGTCAATGAAAGCCACTCAGCCATCTTGAAATGTACAGCGGTTGGCAATCCTCCTCCCAAGGTCACATGGTCTAAGGTGAATTCATCACTTCCTGTCGGTCGTCACGTGGTAGAGTCCAGCGGCGCTCTGATTCTTCAGGATGTTACACCTGGAGACAAAGGCCAGTACACCTGCAAAGCTGAAAATTTGCTGGGAAGCATCAACGCAACAGCGAAGCTAACAGTGCAGTGTAAGTTCCAACTTTTTTATTTAAGGCTTTAAGCAATGATGTTCATTACTCCGTAACACATTATCTATTTCTTGTCAGTTCCTCCCTCTATTGTACTGTCATCACATCGCCTGATGGTTGAAGAGAAACAAAACCTCACTATCGCCTGCACTGCTACTGGTCAGCCGAAACCCAAAATCACGTGGTCCAAGTCAGTTAACAACCTGCCCAAAGACAGAAACGAAGTGGTGAATGGAGCCCTGACAATCTATCATGCAGTGAAAAAGGACGGTGGAACATACATTTGCACAGCAGACAATATTCTTAGTTCAGCAACAGATACGGCTCAACTCATAGTTTTCTCGCCTCTACGGTTTAAAGTCAAACCTCCTAAAGAAGTGCACACTGCAATTGGATACACTGTCCATCTACCGTGTATGGCCGAGAGTGACCTGAGACCTGTAATTTCTTGGTCAAAGGATGGCTCTGTACTTCCTGTTGGTTCGAGGGTTCTTAAAAATAACACTCTCGTACTAAACAGCATCAAAACATCACACAAAGGATCTTATACCTGCAGAGCAACTAACGCCCTCAAAACGATAGAAACAGAAGTTAAAATCAATTCTCCAGTGCGGATTACTTCCTGTTCTGTTATCAAAAAGAACGTCAGCAGTGTGAGCGGAAATTATGTCATTGATCCAGATGGCGAAGGAGGTCTGGCACCATTTCCTGTTTATTGTGATATGACAACTAAACATGGAATTGGCGTGACAGTCATTGGTCACGACAGTGAAAGCAGAACATCAGTGAAAGGATATGAATCTCCGGGTACTTATTTACGAGATGTACGTTACGCAAAAGTGAGCCTCTCTCAGCTGGCAAGTCTCACCAGAGTCTCATCGCATTGTGAACAGTTTATCAAGTACGAGTGTTACGGTTCACATTTACTTAACAACAACCATAAATACGGATGGTGGGTGTCACGTGATTCTACTAAGATGACGTACTGGGGCGGAGCATCTGGCAATGGTAAGTGCGCATGCGGGATGACTAACTCGTGTGTAAACCCCAGTTATGGATGTAACTGTGACAAGAATGACAATACATGGCGTGAAGACAGCGGTCTCCTTACTGACAAGACCAAGCTTCCTGTTATACAACTCAGGTTTGGAGATACTGGTGAAGGCAGCGAACAAGGTTACCATACACTCGGAAAATTGAAGTGCTTTGGGACAGCATAAATGAAGGCTCTTATTCCAAATTAAAATGCCAGACGCGTTTGTAGCGTTATTAGTTCCGAAAAACAAGTGATAATAGAAACGCTGGCTTCCGTTGTTTACCCTCTTTCGCTTCTTTTTGCTATTGGTCATTGCCGTGTCCAATACATTAATCAAACTTTGTTAGACGAGAATATGAACAAACTGAAAATAGTACAAGTGATTAATTAATAACCCCAGGCCCTTTATATGCTTCTGTAAATGCGACAGTTTGAAAGTCGTAAAAGAGAAAGTAGAAAAAATCACACCGAATCTGCGGTCCACTCTTGCTATTGCGACGACTGCGCGCATGCGTAAGGCACTGGCTATATCGTGCCACCAATGTTTAGAAAGTATAGCCTATGCCAGGCTCTCAGACAGTAGGGATGTCACGAAAACGAGGTCAGGAAAAAATAAGTATCTTAGAGTCTAGATCAGAGTAAGACAGTAGAGTAGCTGCAGCTCTGTTGCATTGGGGCTAGGAATATTTCTCTTGCTTGTATTTCACAGCTGGATATCAAGCCAATCAACTGAGACCTTACGAGAGCTGTTGGATAACTGTGGTTTTTAGAACGTTATATTTATACTTGCGTGAGTTCAAATAAACATATTCGGTAAAAACGTTAAATGTTTGGCAAAAGGTCATTTAAAAAAAGCATAACATTTTAGAGTCTTTTTTACCACATGAAGCGTTTCTTAGAACGAGATTGGGAATAAAGCGAAAAAAGAAATAAACGTTAGTCTCCCTTTAAGTCTCCCTGTTCTATGTACAATTTGTAAAAAAATTAGATGCGATCTCAAATATTTAACTCGTGTTAGTACCGTACGTTTCCGGGGCGACTCGAATGGCGTCAAATTGCGGGAAAATGGACAAAAGGAGGCTTGTTTCAAGTTATGAATATAAGATTCTTTGAGGTCCAAGACATAAGGTTTTCAATTCAGGTGAAAGCCTTCCCTAGTTTACCCAGGCAGGATTAGCTCAGTCGGTAGAGCACTTGACTGCAGAGCGGGAGGTCGTGGGTTCGATTCCCAGGGCCGAACCAATCCTCAGGGTCTTGACATAACTGAGGAATGAAGGTACTGCCTTTGCTCTGTAAACGGCTAGACCTTCGCTTAGCTCGGTCGACAACGTAAAATGGCGGACTAGTCTCCTGTAAGAGACGTAAAAACTGGTGTCCCCAATTAGTACGTTCTTCTAAATATATTGACACTCAAATAAAGTGCATTTTTTCACAACCATGTATTGTCATCTCACGTACACAACGTAACATTGTTGGGAAAAAGCTGCGAGGAAGAATGAGTCCCAAGCAGTTAGGAATGGCCGGCGGAAAATGCCTGAAATTTAAAACTGAAACGTGACAGAATACGCGAATGGCATTGGGCACGATGTAGGTTACATGACAAAGAACTAAAACCATATCTGTCACGTCTGTAACCAAATTTTCTAACAACTTCCTCAGAGAACACACGGAAAGGTATTGCATTAAAATACAAAATAAACATTGACCTGTGCTAAGCGTGCTCCTTGTGGTTCGTAATTGTAAACTATCTCTATTTGACCCTATAGTATTACTACGACTTCCTGCCGTGCTTAAATTCTCAAACAAGTTGAGACAACTCCAAGCCTTTCCCCTCTTCTACTTGTCGTTCCATCAAATCACCCATATTCGTCAGGGATATAAATAGATATTTGAGCAAAAAAGTTTTGAGACTGCTCCAATTGTTCAAAAGTTTTAAAGCTCTTTTCTTTATTAATTTCAAGGAGCCCTGCTTAACTAGGTGTTGATGAAGCCCTAGGCCTAACAAGGCACTTCAGTTATTATGACAAAAACAAGGGTAGGAGAGAAGTACACAACCAGAGTTGACAAATTTGATAGTCTGTGTTGTAAGTCAGGTTTGCTGCTGTGAATTGTGTGCTGTATCGCACTTATTCGCGTAGAACTTCGAGTACAAGAACATCATCAACTGATTTCACACGCAGTGACACGTTGTGGTCAGTTGGAAACAGAACTCCTTCGAGTGCATCAGAAAAATGGAAGATGGAGAGTAACCGAAAGCAGCGATTCAGATTGGGGACAAGAGATGGAAGGTGAGTATTGACAAAACCGAGAGCAAAGATAGGTGGTCATAATTGGCTTCCGTCAGGAACAAGGTGAATCGTTTTAGGCCTACGGTGAAGGACATGTGTTAATATCCCCTTTCAGAAACACTGCTTTTTTTAAAATGAAACGCAAAGGTCAAAACGAAAGGGGAAATGAACGTTGCAGGGTAAAATGGTTTCCTTTTAAGCAAATTGTACATTCAAATCCTACCCACTTGGGGAGCCATGTGATCAATTCACTATGTCTTTCCCGGTTTCCGAAACCGAAAAAGAGAAAGTGAATTGATCACTGAAGTTTATTAAATAAACACGGTTCATGTTCTATTTCCTCTCCTATAAGGTCAGGAAACCTTGTCACGACAAAAACGCGCTTCATCCGATGACTCACAAGCGAAACCTGTGAAAACAGCCTCTGATATAAACCTGCTGATTAAAGAAGAACTTCGTCTCCTACAGAATAAAATCTGCGTCAAAGATGAAAAGCTCTGTCGACCAGGACCAAAAGGTAACACTGGAAGGCGGGGAAGACGAGGACCCCAAGGAATAAAGGGCCCCCGAGGGAAACCCGGCCCAACAGGACCTCCTGGTAAACATGGACCAATAGGACCTCAGGGACCAATGGGCAAAAAGGGGGATCGCGGACTGCAGGGTCCGCCAGGTCCCGTAGGACCTAGAGGTCCGCCGGGAGAGAAAGGCGCACCGGGACAATCTATCTCGGCTCCCTCCCTGTTACAGCAGCCTGTTGAAACGACAGTCAATGAAAGTCAGACAGCCATCTTGAAATGTACAGCGGTTGGCAATCCACCACCAAAGGTCACATGGTCTAAAGTGAATTCGTCACTTCCTGTCGGTCGTCACGTGGTAGAGTCCAGTGGTGCTCTGATTCTTCAGGATGTTCAACGTGGAGACGAAGGCCAGTACACCTGCAAAGCCGAAAATTTGCTAGGAAACATCAACGCAACAGCGAAGCTAACAGTGCAGTGTAAGTTCCTTCTTTTTCGTCAAGATTTTTAAAAAGGGTGTCCTTCATCTTCATACATTTTTCGACGTGTTTCTAAGAGTGTTCTAACGGACCACTAGAGAAGCTCTCATCTTACCGTTCTTCATTTATTTCCTTTGACCATCTTTATAACTTGCATACCTCTCTAAAAGGGACAGTAACTATTGGTCATTCTATCAGTACAGTAAAACCCGCGACTAAGAACCTGTTAGGCTAAAATTTGCGAGTTAGGCCCCCTCTAAACAAGAACTTGTTCAGCCCTAAAATTTGAAACACGCTCTTATTTTCTAAAATCTACCAAAAAATTCTGTACACTTAAGGAAATAAGATAAGTCAACATTCAGGATCCTCTTCGAAGACATAGGTACCTTAACACTTCAATTTCAACTACTGTACTCCCCAAACACTCTGCCAGTGTTGCTAGGATACAATTTAGAATCTGTGCGCGTGGTACAGAGGGCCTAGTTATGACCATCTGTGTATCAACAATTGGATGTCGCATTCGAAAAGCCAGTTTGACAAAAGGAAAAAAGATTGACTAGTCCAGAAGTTTGGTCTGCAGTGACTTCAGAGCTATGACGCGATTCAGGCAGAGAAGACAAAAGGAGGCTCTGCTCGCAGCGGCAGGGTGGTTTTACCTAAGGAATGAGCTACCTACTCCGAACCTTTTCACTGCCAGATGTGGCCAAAGGCAAATTTCGACCAAATTTCCAAATTTCATTTTCTTAACTTTTGAGAAACAAATAGCATCATGTGAAAGTAGGGGCATAGAGCTTTCATCTGAATGGTCACATCATAGGATTTCGTCCACAGACTCAAAAGTTAGAGTCACGTTACAAAACTCTATCAAAAACTTGGGCAGTGAAAGGGATAAATACTCTTAGCCACAATGTATTTATTCTTTAGAAAATAACAACCTATTAAAGAGTCTAAATAGCCTAAATTTGCGCTCATTACCATTTATGTAAAAAACCTGTTTAGGTTAAACTGGGAAAATGCAGGTTCTTAGTCGCGGGTTTTTACTGTACTTTGTTTACAAAAAAACACAAGTTTCTTTTCTTTCCAGATCCACCCTCTATTGTATTGTCATCAAATCGCATAATGGCTGAAGAAAGACAAAACATCACCATGGCCTGCATTACTACTGGCCAGCCGCAACCCACCATCACGTGGTCAATGTTAGGAGGTACTTTGCCCAAAGACAGAAATAAAGTGATGAATGGAACCCTAACAATCTACGACATGGTAAAAAAAGACGGTGGTACGTACATATGCAAGGCAGAAAACATTCTTGGATCAGCAGCAAAGACGGCTCAACTTATAGTTTTCTCTCCTCTGCGATTCAGAGTCCTTCCCCCTACAGAGTTGACTCCTGTTAGCTTTGGTTCAAGCGTTCGTCTGCCATGTGTAGCCGAGAGTGACCTGAAAACTACAATTACCTGGACAAAGAACGGTACTACACTTCCTGATGAAACAAGTATTCTCCAAGACAACACACTGGTTCTTGACGGCTTCAAGAAATCGCACGAAGGGTATTACACCTGTACTGCAACTAATGCTCTGTCAAAAATCAAATCAAAAGCAAAACTCAATTCTCCAGTTGGTGTCGCTTCCTGTTCTGTGATTAAGAAATACGTCAGCAGTGTAATTGGGAATTACATCATTGATCCAGATGGAGAGGGAGGTTTGGCACCATTCACAGTTTATTGTGATATGACAGCTAAAAATGGAGTTGGCGTGACGGTTATTAGTCACGACAGTGAAAGCAGAACACACGTAAGAGGATACAATCCTCAGGGTAGTTACTCACGTGATATTCATTACACAGGAGTGAGTCTCTCTCAGCTGGCGAGTCTTACCAGAGTCTCCTCGAGCTGTGAACAGTTTATCAAGTATGCGTGTTACAATTCGGTTTTGCTTTACAACAACAATGAATATGGGTGGTGGGTGTCACGAGATTCTACGAAGATGACGTACTGGGGCGGAGCATCTGGCAATGGTAAGTGCGCATGCGGGATGACTAACTCGTGTGCAAATCCCAGTTATGGCTGTAACTGTGATGCGAATGACAACGTATGGCGTGAAGACAGCGGTTTCCTCACTGACAAGACCAAGCTTCCTGTAATACAACTCAGGTTTGGGGATGCTAGTGGTCCCATTGAACAAGGTTACCACACACTCGGAAAATTGAAGTGCTTTGGGACAGCATAAATTAAGGCTACCTCTCTTTTATTCCAAAATCGAAAAGCAAAACGACTTTGTAACGTTATTAGTTTCATAAAAGAGGAAGGATGGTCGGAAGAAATCCGGCATTTCGTAGGCATGGTAAGCAAATTGCCGTCGCCCTGGTTAAATATATTAATAGACCTTTATTTGACGAGAATAAAAACTAAACAAAAATAGTACAAGGGATTAAAAAATCCTACGCCCTTTGACTACCGCCTTTAATGCGATAGTCTTGTAGGTCATTTAAAAGAGGAGTAGAAACAATAATTTCATAAATAACGAAATATTCTTGTCACACACGGCTACTGAAAAATGATGACGCTTCCTAACACTACAGAAACTTCTACGCCGGCCGGCTGCGACTTTGCGTGGGGGATTTGCTATATTGTGTGACCATCGATGTTTAGACAGTATTGTAGTACATCTGTTGTTTTAAGGGCTAGGAATACTTCCTTTACTTGTTTTTTTTTTCAACTGGGTATCGAGCCAATCATGTAAGCCCTGACGAGAGCTGCTAGATCACATTGGCTTTTCGAACGTTTAGATCTATAATTAACTGCGTTCTTGGAAAAAAAGTAAAACATTTGTGCTTAACAAAACATCTTTCGAAAATAGTATAACATTATATTCTTTTACCGCATGAAGAGTTTCTAAGAACGAGATTGTAAATGAAGCGTAAAAAAATCAATAAACGTTAGGTTCCGTTTCTATGTGCAATTTGTCAATTTTAAATCTTTTAAGGCGCGATTTTCAAATAACAATGTGCAAGCGCGGTAAGTTGGCGACCGACTCGCGAGACGACGAAACAACAAAAGATAAGCCTGTTACATGTTATGAATATAAGATACTTTGTAGTCCAAAACATGAGAATAGTAAATATCAGGTGTGGGCCTTCAGTATTTCTGGCTCCATTTGTTCAAAAAGTGGATAACGCTATCCACTGGATAAACCACTATCCACTGTAAAGCGCAATATTGGTTTCTCTAATAGTTATCTGCTGGATAGTGGTCAATCTTGAAGAACCAGCGCCTAGTGTTTACCCAGGTCTTCACAGACATGTACTGCCATGCTACGCTAACCACGTGACACTGCCGCGCGGAAGAATGGGTTCTATAAAGGGATTACGCAAGGCCGGCAGCGAATGCCTGACCTCTCGAACTGAAACGTGACAAGATGCGCGACGGGTATCGGGCGCAATGAGCAAAACGCATGAGTTGCATGAAGAAGAAATAAAAACGAGTCTGTCACTTCTGTAACTAACTTTTCTAATAACTTCATCAAAAACCACACGGAAAGGTATTGCATTAAAATACAGATAAACATTGACCTGTGCTAAGCATGTTCCTTACGGATCGTAAATTATTAACTCTCTCTATTTGACCCTAATATTACTAAAACTTCCTGCCGTGCTTAAATTCCCAAACAAGCTGAGACAACTCCTAGTCTATCCCCTCTTCTCCTTGTCGTTCCACCAAATCACTCATATTCGTCAGGTTTATAAATAGATTATTGACTAAAAAGATATTGAGAGTGTATAAAAGGGCGAAGTATTTCAATTATTCAAGTTTCAAAGCCCTTTCAAGGACGTCTGTCTCACTAAGGGTTTGTGAGGCCCTAGGCATAACAAGACACTTCAGTTATCATGACAAAAACAAGGGCAGAAGAGAAAAATACAACCAGAGTTAAAACATTTGACAGTTTGTGTTGTAAGTCAGCTTTGCTGCTGTCAATTGTATGCTGTATCGCACTTATTCACGTAGAACTACGAGTACAAGAACATCATCAACTGATTTCACACACAGTGACACGTTGTGGAAAGTTGGAAAAAGAAATCCTTCGAGTGCATCAGAAAAATGGAAGATGGAGAGTAACCGAAAGCAGCGATTCAGGTTTGGGACAAGAGATCCAAGGTGAGTATTGAGAAAAACGAGAGCAAAGATAGGTGGTCATAATTGGCTTCCGCCAGGAACAAGGTGAATCGTTTTAGGCCTACGGTGAGCGACGTTTAATATTGAACTCCTTTCAGAAACACCGGTTTTTCTTAAATCAACCATAAACGTCAAGACGAAAGAGGAAATGATCGTCAGAAGTAAAATAGTTTGCTTCTTAGCGAAATGTACTCACTCAAATAAGCCAATTTTGCCCCGCTTTTGGGAAGCCAATCAAAAAGAGGAAATGGCTTTTATTGGCATTTGCTCTTACTGATTGTCACTAAGATTTATCAGATCAGCAAAGTTCACGTTCTATTATCTTTCATAAGGTCAAGAATCCTCGTCACGACAAAAACGCACTTCACCAGACAACTCACAAGCGAAACCGGTCAAAACAGCCTCTGATGTAAAACTGCTGATTAAAGAAGAGCTTCGTTTGCTGCAAAATCAAATCTGTGCCAAAGATGAAAAGCTTTGTCGACCAGGACCAAAAGGTAACACAGGAAGGCGGGGGAGACGAGGACCCCAAGGTATATCGGGGCCCCGGGGGAAACCCGGCCCAGCAGGACCTCCTGGTAAACATGGACCAATAGGACCTCAGGGACCAATAGGCAAAAAGGGGGATCCCGGACTGCAGGGTCCGCCAGGTCCCACAGGACCTAGAGGCCCATCGGGTGAGAAAGGGGCACCAGGACAATCCATCTCGGCTCCTTCTCTATTGCAAAGTCCTGAACGAACGACCGTTAACAAAAGTCAGACAGCCATCTTGAAATGTACAGCGGTTGGCAATCCTCCTCCCAAGGTCACATGGTCTAAAATTAATTCATCACTTCCTGTCGAGCGTCACGTGGTAGAGTCCAGTGGCGCTCTGATTCTTCAGGATGTTAGACCTGGAGACGAAGGGCAGTATACCTGCAAAGCTGAAAATTTGCTGGGAAGCATTAACGCAACAGCGAAGTTAACGGTGCAGTGTAAGTCATTTTTTTCCCTTAATGAATGGTTTTGGTCTTTATAGGAACTGAAAAGGTTTGTCAATTTTGTGTCATGTGAAATAGGCTCAGAGAGTTTTTTTATTCCTGAAAAAATTAAATTGGGATTTCTTTATCCATTCTTTCTTCCTTTTTCAGTTCTCTCTAAGCTATTATTATCAAAAAATCGCCTCATGGCTGAAGAGAAACAAAATGTCACTATCAGCTGCAGTGCTACTGGTCAGCCGCCGCCTAAAATCACGTGGTCTAAAGCCGTTGGTAATTTGCCAATGGGCAGAAATGAAGTCATACATGGAGCCCTGACGATCTACCAAGTGACAAGAGAAGACGGTGGAACATACATTTGCAAAGCAGAGAATATATTGGGATCAGTAACAGATACGGTTGTACTCATGATATTCTCTACTTTGCGGTTCAAAGTCCGTCCTCCTCAAGAATTGACTCCGGTGATTGACTCCACTCTTCCTCTGCCTTGCGTAGCCGAGAGTGACCTGAGACCTGTAATTTCTTGGTCAAAGGATGGCTCTATACTTCCTGTTGGTTCGAGAGTTCTTAAAAATAACACTCTCGTACTAAACAACATCAAAAAATCACACAGAGGATCTTATACCTGCAGAGCAAGTAACGCCCTCAAAACGATAGAAACAGAGGTTAAAATCAATTCTCCAGTGAGGGCTACTTCCTGTTCTGTTATCAAAAAGAACGTCAGCAGTGTGAGCGGAAACTACGTCATTGATCCTGATGGCGAGGGAGGTATGGCACCTTTCACCGTTTATTGTAACATGACAGCTAAAAATGGAGTTGGCGTGACAGTCATCAGTCACGACAGTGAAAGCAGAACATCCGTGAAAGGATATGAAGGTCAGGGTAGCTTTTCCCGTGACATTCATTATACAGGAGCGAGTCTCTCTCAGCTGACGAGTCTCACCACAGTCTCTTCACAGTGTGAACAATTTATCAAGTATGAGTGTTACGGTTCCGTTTTGCTCTACAAGAACGATCCGTTTGGATGGTGGGTGTCACGTGATTCTACTAAGATGGCATACTGGGGCGGAGCATCTGGCAATAGTAAGTGCGCATGCGGGATGACTAACTCGTGTGCAAATCCCAGTTATGGCTGTAACTGTGATGCGAATGACAACGTATGGCGTGAAGACAGCGGTCTCCTCACGGATAAAACCAAGCTTCCTGTAATACAACTCAGGTTTGGCGATACTGGTGGTACCAAAGAACGAGGTTACCACACACTTGGAAAACTTAAGTGCTTTGGGACAGCATAAAAGCTAAATTGGTTTTATGATGGAAAAGTACTGTTACTAGAGAGCCGCAAGGAAAAAACTCAACAACGCATTGTTTTCTAAGTCATGATAAACTAATTACTGATTTGGAACTTGTTCCAGGCGTTTAGATAGTACGAACGGCGCAAAGGAAATTGAGCGGGAAACTTTCCTCGTCCTTTCTCTAGTACAACAGTGGTTACGTGGCTGCGTAGCGGCGTAGCCACGTGGCCACGATATAACGGAGATTTAGAGTCACGTTTACGGCAAACGGTAAACGTCAATTTCTACCACGTGATCAAGGTTCCCCTTAACTGTTTATTAATTATCCAAAAAATAGTAGTTTCTCGTTAGTTTTGTCCGTAAGAATCGTTTTGAACTGTTAATATCTGCTTATTTTATATTTTGACGAAGCTCAACTTCAGCAACTTGAATCTTCCGTCTGTCGTCTGTCGTCTAAATAGCTGTAAAAATGGAGCCCTCTTTTTGAGCCAATCACGTTGTACTGGCCACTCGTAGGGGTCAAAGTAATAAAATAACAAAAAAAAGAGTTTACGAAACAGGACGGCAGAACGAAGAGGACAGCAAAACATCTGTGTGTGATAATCGTGACAGGGCTATTACTTGCGTACGACTGTTTTGTCGTTATTTTCACTTAAAAACATAAATGCGTTCTCGTCTTTTTTAAAAAGGTGTGTTTAAAGGAAGGTGAAGTTTGGCGGAATTGTTTTCTAACAAAATTATTGTGAAGCTTCAACACAAGGTTTGCCGTCTTCTCGGCTCTTCCGTCCCATTGCGAAGTTTACGAATGAAAACAAATTTGAAACAAACCCAGCCTCCTTGAACGCATCCGTTATATTGCCAACAGCGTCATCCATTATGTCAACCATTCCAGCGTAGGTTCTTCTAACAGGGTCTTTAATGAATGCGTACTTGTCTACGTGTTCCTTGGGTGCTTGCACAGGGCCATGAACATTTTGAAAAGCCATGTACAGGAAAAGAGGCTTGCTGCTATTGTGTGATTTGGCAATCTGTTGGGCACGCTAAAACAGAGAAGTTGACTAACATAAGCCAGTTCGAATCCAATAAGCTAAGGCATAGAGAACCCGTTAATAAATATAATATAATGAAATGTGTGAAATTTGGCTAAAATTTTGGAAAGCAAATGATTTGATAACACCTAAGTTACGAGGAAACTGCAAAATTAATAATAAAATTTTGTAGGAAAATGGATCTTAGCAAGCGCAGATGGAATACTAGAATGCATTTTGAAGCTGTTTATTTTTCTTTCTGCCTTATCATTTCTTCAGAAGCCCGGATATCCACAGTGGTTTAATCTTGAACGAGAATTTTGTGTTCAGTTTTCTTTTACCAGACCTCATTCAAAATATTTACTGACACCTTCATGCATCTGATATACAGTTGCTATTGCACCCTGTACACTCATTTTAGGAATTAGTATCTCAAGTGTAAGAATCCTCTTCTAGATCCAAAACCAGCTGTTGGGCAGCACAGTCTTAGCTATTCTTGTGTAGGTGATATGTGCTCATCCCCACCAGGAACATATTGTCACATTGGGCCAAGCATTGACTGAAAATTGGGAACCTGATATGTAAATGTCTGTGTACACATTTGCTCCATTTCGGTCTGCCACTTTGAAACATAATATCACAGCGATCATGAACATAATAGCACATCCACCATGCCTGAATTCTATCAAGGATCATTCTTAAAAAACAGCGTGTTCACATTAGCGCTCACAATGAGTATTGCACTTCAGGCACCCCAGTTGGACAACAAGTGTGAACAGGCTCCCAGTTTAGCCGCTTAGCCTTCACACTTACCTTTGCAAAAGCATTGACAGAGTAAGTGCCATTTAGGTCCCTGACTATTTCTTCATTATCTCTCAAGTCAAGATAATGGTCCTGTACGTGGGTATAGTGATCCTCGGCACCACTGTAAAACCCATAAAAGGTATCAAACCCACGATAAGTAGGAGTGCTGTCCCAGTTGTAGAATCCCAGATGCCACTTTCCTATCATGTGGGTACTGTAACCTGAAATTAAATCAATAACTAAATGACTGAGAAGATAGTCATTTTGTTTTCCTTGGGACCAGTCATTAACAATTTAATATAAAAAAAGGAAAGAATTACGCAGATCAAGAAGGGTGTTACCTACCAAGGCAAATTAGGCAGAGGCAGATGACACCCTCCAAGATATGCATAATATAGCCAATTTCCAAATTGCCTCCAGCTTCTGTTTGAAAGTGGGGCTAAGTGCAAAACCACTGATATAAAAATGATTTTTAATTCTCATGCAAATAAACCTCATTTTCACAAAAGAGGTTTTGCTCTTAGCCTCATTTTGAAAAAGAGAGTTTTTGGAACTGAGAAATGGCCTGTTCTTCACATTATGCAAAAGCTTATCTCAATCGATGTCATTCCTTCTTTTTAAGCCTGTTCCGCAGCAAAATCAAGATATTAAGAAATCATTATTTCATCAAGCAGATATTCACTGTTCTTCAGTTATGCTTTTTGGCATTACGTAGTACAGCTATTTCTTGTTCGTACAATGTGTGAAATTTTCCACCATTTTCTCCTGAGCTCCACCAAAATAGCCTGTGCCACAGATGAAATTAAACTTCGGTTAAGTCTGTCTGGGAAACAGGGCCAAAATCCTTGTTATCAGTACCTAGCTGTGAACCAGGATTGAGTATGTGCCATGATTGGCCTGTTATAACACTGCCAGTGTCAAATTGCCAATCAGGTTGAAGGAAAAATTTGAAACACATTTCTGTTTATGGGACGTCACCCAAGTTTGATTAACACATCACCTGGTTATGAAGAATTACATTTTGCAGCCATGGGATTTGAGCCAGTCAGAAACAGAGAAATATTTTGAATATAAGTATTAATGAAAAACATGTAAATTGAGGTTCACACTGTATACCAAGGGAGGATTGAGAAAATTCAAAAATAGCTCACTGTTAAAGACAAAAGGGTTGGGAAAGGGGGAAGGTCAATGGGTTTTAACCTTACCAGCTTTCTTAAGTTTCTGTGGTAATGTGGTTATATTCAAGGGCAGGCCATATGGATCTCCATTATGAATTATCCCATGTTGCAGGCCTGCAAGGAAAAAAAGACAGGTAGTTATTGCTTTAATATTATTTCGCCCAAAAAACTAAACAAAGTGAAAACCTTAAGAGGCAGTCTTACTGTACGTACCAGATGACCTTAACACTCTACTCCAACTCCTGGATTATTCAAGGGTCGAGTCTCTCAGATACGGCACCAACCTTCCACTCTCCCAAACAAATCACTTTTCTGTGCTTCAGTTTGAAATTTAGCCCATTTTGTTTTCTAAAATTATTTAAATCTTTCATTCATACAGTGAAACCCCGTTAATACGCGGTCACCAACGGGCCAAAAAATTTTGGCCGTATTAACGGTTGACCATATTATCAAGGGGTTTTTTACAAGGAAACATATGGCCATTTTGCTAGGCAGCCGAAGAAAATTAGCGACACGGAGGTGGCCATAAGGCGGCATTCCACTGAACTACAGTTTCTAGCGCATTTTTGCACGTATGGAGTCAATAACAAAGATTATTTCGTCATTACAATGATGAAAGCGAAATGTTGATTGGTAAGACTTCATATAATGTCATTTGGGGGCTGGGTCGATTTGTGGGGGATGGGGGTGAAGATATCTCATTCACTGGTCAGCATTAGATCCCATCGGCCATAGCCTTTTTCTCCCCTCATGAAATTTACACAAGGTAGAGCTGTTTTCTGCTTTTATAACACACTTAGATATGACCATCTTAGATGATATTTCAAGCTGGAAATGTTCATGAAAGTGCAAGTCTCTTTAATTTGAAAGAAAAAAAAATTGATACGAAAGATAGTAGGATTCGAACCTGATCCAAATGGTCCAGTACACTACACTACACTAACCACTAGACCACTGAGGATTTGCTGGATGGACGTGAAATAATTTAAGTACTTACGGCATCAACCCCAACCCAAAAAAAGAACTTAACCAGTTTTGAAACAGCGCTTAAGGTGGCTGAACACAGTTTTGTGGGCAGTCAGTGGTAACTTGCGTGACGGTGCGTGTTTTAAATGAGACAGACAAACATGGTGGCGAAAAAGCAATGGTACACAGAAGACGATTTCTCAAAATCTACTCATTAGAATTTTGTGATATTTGGCAGAATTTTTCCTTTTATCGTATTTTAAGTAATGAAAACTTTAAAATCGAAGTTGAACAGACAAATTTTGTGACACATTTAATAATTACAGTACAATTAAATTATTGATTATCTAAAAACCCGTCTGTTAAAATTTGGTCAAATAAGTTTCAAATAGTAATGATACATTACAGTAAGCTGTGGGAAAATCTGATGAGCGAATTTTATGTAAACTGCGGAAAAGTGAAATTTTGAGGTTGTACTCAATCGTTCATGTTGCCATGGAAACTACAAAAATGCCAATTTTTACCTGTCAATCAAAATCTTTCATCAGTACATTTTTCACTTGCCAAGTTTCAGCTTGTGACCAGAAACCTTTCTCATGCCATGATTTGGCAAATGACATATAATCACAAACTGCCAAAACTGTGTTCAGCCACCTTAACCCTAATCAGTAAAGGCAGTGCTTATGCTAATCAGTAGAGGCAGTGCTTAACCCTAATCTGTAAAGGCAGTGCTTAACCCTAATCAGTAAAGGTAGTGCTTAACCCTAATCTGTAAAAAGCAGTGCCTAACCCTAATTAGTGAAGAGGAAAACTATGTTGTGTAAATTTCATGAGGTGTCCGAGGGGGGCTACGGTCGATGGGATCTAATGATAACCTCATTCACTTTTAGTCCTAAGCTGTCTCTCCTCTCAAATTGAATTGTGCCAATTTAGTGGATTGGTATTTAACACGAATACTTACCAGTATGTATAGGATATCTTCCAGACAGTAAAGCTGCTCTTGTTGGCGTACAAATAGGCTGGACATAGTAACTGTTCAAGATTACTCCTTCGCTTGCTAATTTGTCTACATTTGGAGTTTTTATTTTCGACCCGTGGAAACTCACATCACTCCAGCCGAGGTCATCCACCAAAACAAATAAAATATTAGGCTGTGACTGCAACGAAGCTGTACCGACGTTTATGCAAAGGTTTGCCAGCGAAAAAATCCCAAAAATAATAACGAAAGTGCTCATTGTTTTTCTTAAAACTTGCATTGCTGCCGGCAAGGGGAAGATTGAGGAGGAGGGGGAAAGATTGCGTGACAGCTAGTTGAAAGTCAGCTGGTCAACAACAATGCAAACTCCAGATGTGATGTCATTGTAGTCAAAAATAGTCTTTCGGCAACCGCGGCAATACCGCAGAAGCTTTCGACGGCACGTTGTAATATTTAGATTCTATTGTGCTATAGCTTTGGCCTTTTTTTCTGGACAATGGCTCACAAAAGTACTAATTATTATCGATCGAAGTCGTTAAATGCCCAATGGGAAGATCTAAGCCGTTCAATTGGTGGCGTTCTGCACGAACGCGAAGGTCCTGCCGTCAAGGCGGAAAGATCTCAGATTACAACTGCTCATTGGGTGAATGATTTGGAAAGGGCACACTGTGCTGAAGCTGGCTGCCGAAAGAAGTTTTCTTTGACAGAAAGAAAGCATCATTGTCGAAGGTAAAGCTTATTGGATGCTTTTAAAAGGGCTTGGTGTGCGATATGCACAAGAGAAGTGGAGGCGACATTGGTTTTGTCGCCTCCACTTCTCTTCTCTTGATTAAATCAGCAGTGCCGCCGAAACACATATCTCACAGGTGACCCAAGCAATCAAAGTTGAAAACCGCTAGAGGCAGAAATATCTGGGATTTAATTCGAAATAACATCAAGATTTCCGTTTTGGTTCAATTTTATCCTTGTTTCAAATTTTATTTTCTTTTGCTTCAAACTCATTATCATGCATGTTATTATCTGTCTAATCATAACTATAACAAAATTCTCAAATCTGATTGGTTCTCAACTGCCCTGATTTCAGCCTTAATAGGACAGTTTAATAGGACAGTACGCGTCATGCCTAAGTAATTGACAGTACGGGCCATCACGCGCGCGCTTAAATGGCTTTTTTGTTTTCATTGCCAGCGAAAAAATCGTGGAATTTCTTGTGTTTTGATTTAAAAAGAGCCCTATATATCACAAATTTTGTTAAAGTTATGATTAATTGGTAACAGAACTTCGTGTCGTCCAATTCGGTCTGTAATCATACTCGTGATTAAACAGATCGGACTCCCGCAACGCGGTCGTCCGATTTTGTTAATCACTCGTATGATTACAGACCGAATTGGACTCCACTCAGTCCTGTTACCATTAACTGGTATTTATTGTGACAAGATTCTAAAGTAACTTTACCTAACTGTTAAAATTTGATCCACAAGTGCCAGAACAGCACAATAATAATCGCAAGGAATATTGGCTATCAAAAACTTGAGTATCTTTTTACACACAGGTTGGGGGAGGGGGGGTTGTTCTAATTGCATGAATGATTTTGTAGGTATTAACCCTCAGCGTACAAGGGGGGTGGTGGTTGCCTCCCCCCTCCATCTGAGGTTTCTCTGAGGTTTTTTCTTAGATGATGAAATGTAAGCAGCTGACGTTTTCAGTAGCTGTTTGTTTATCCTTGGCACGCATTTTGAGATGAGTTTTTTGATGGTCAGTTACTATGGTTATGAGATATGACATCATAAGTAGCAGGTGGTCAAGCCATTTTTGAGTGAAAATGCATGTTTTCTCAACTTCTTTCAACAACAAAAGTAATGATTCAAAGTACTTATTTATGTGTTATTTTACATGTCAAGCACAAAAATTACCATTTTTTGCAGTGGTAAAATCCAAGTTGGCGACCATTGGTGGTGATGTCACGGGCCTCCAGCATCGCCACCACCCATAAAATATACCTCATCTTGTTGAGCTGATCAAACGCTTTCCACTGAAGGCAAAATCGCTTCAAAATACTGCTACATATCAAAACCTCTCGGGAGGGGCTCCATCAACCCCCCCTTGTACCATTGTGGGGGTATGAATGTGCACGTATGTCAGAGATTTAAATCCGTAGAAAATAAATCAATTGGAAAAGGCCTGGTTTTCTTTTTAAAAAAATGATGCCCTCGTTTTCATGTACTAGAAGTAAGAAGCCTCGTCACTAGCTGTCAGTATTTCGCTGTTTTAAATTCCACTTGTTTACATCATTGTCCCTGTTTCAACCCAATCTTTGCGTCATTTTTTGACATTTCATCTGTCCCATGCTCCTGTTTCAAGGCCGTGTTGCTTGTCAGAATTTTGCTGCAACAGGATCTTGCAATATCATCGTATCTTTGATATTAATTTAATTTTCTCACTCAAAGTTCATTTTGATTTCTTCTGTATAAATCAGAAATAATTAAACTATAATAACTAAAAACGTATCATCAAGTCCATCTTTTTGACACCTTCCTTTCCTTTTTCTTTGTCTTTTTTCAGATGCGGTGAAGTGTTTTGTGGCAAGTGTACACAGTACAGAAGACGCCTATCATTGTTGGCAACTCCAGATCCTAATGGGTTTGCTTACAGAGTGAGTGTCCTCATACCTTCTAAATCCCATTTAGAATTTATGGAGATAGAAAAACATAACCTTGAAGCAGCTTCTTTAGCCTGCAGGGGCGTAGCGTGAGATTTTGTAGGTGTAATGCATGCCGGGAAGGTGGCGCAACCTAGGGGGTATTGAGGCATGCTCCCCCCCAGAACATTTTTAAATTTAGGGTCTTGGAAATGTGATTCCAGTGTTTTCCACAGGATATTTTTAATAAATAAAATTAATACACAAGAAAATGAGGTAATTAATTGTTTATTTTACCCATCTCTAGTGTCGTTGGTAAGGTAATGTGTTTAAGGGGAAAAAAAGGCCGGTGGCTGCATCAGAATTATGGAATAATATTAGGATAAAGGAAATAATAACACAAAGACACCAGTATCGTGCAAAAAACGTACCAGTCATCCCCATTTAATGAGAAAAAATGCTTTTTCTGAAAAAAAAAGTAAAATGAAGCTAATTTCCAGGGTGTCTTTTTTGAGAACATGTGTTAAAACTTTAAGTTAAATCTTGTACTCATACTGGTTCTCATCCTCAAATCCAAAGCTCTCTAATGTCATTTGAAGGACAAACGTCCTATCCATAGGGAAATAAAACACTCCTGGTTTCATGCTACAGTAACTGGGTTTTGCTCTGGCCATCAGGGGCACCCAATGACTGTTTTCCATAAAATGTCTGTTCGGAGAGGCAGATGACGTTGCTTAGGATTTTCTATTTCTTGAGAACAGCTAAAGATTTCAAAATGACCCTTCCACTCAGGCAATTTTTGAAGCTTATCTAATAAATGCCGTACAATCTAAGTTTAATTTTTCACATTTCACTCCCCAGGTTAGGTTATTTTTCTGCTGGAAAAAGGAAACCTAAAATTTGGGGGTTCATGGAGAGAGGAATCAGAAAAATTCTCACTTTTGTAATACGTTAATTGCATCAAAAATTTTCAAGAAAATAAAACTGACTAGTCCTTGAAATTGTGAAGACACTCAAGTTCTCCTAAGATGACCGAACAGGTACAAAATTTATAGCACTCTGCTTAGAATGCATTTATAGATAGCCAAAAGTACTCTGCATAGCCTAAAAAGTTTTTTCATTGTATTTAGGAGGAAACCATCGTTGGGTGCCCCCGTGCCATGCTGGCCTCGTTTGCTTGTATGTGTGTTTAATTTCTTTGTTGTTAATCACTGGCTTCTACTGTTTCAAGGTATGCAAGAAATGTTTTGACAAGGGACCTCAAGGTACTGGAGCATGGCGGTCTTTTACAAAAGACTTCATAATGCGTCGAGAAAACTTCAAGAAAAGAGTTAACAATAATGGACAAAATGTTGTACCAAAGCAACCAACAAGTGTTTTGGAAGAAGAAATGCAAAGGCTGGTAAATGGCTACAAGAAGCATGTTGGTTCATCTAAGATCAAGTCTTTCATGACAGAAGCCTTCAGTTTAGTGAAGATTCCTGACTGGCAAAAGTCGAAGCACTGGATGGTGAGAATTAGAATAGCTTTATGTAACAGGTACTTTGAAAGATATGGGTACAAAAAAGAATGGTGCACATTAGGGAGACAGACAAAGGGAGATGGAGGGCCTTGGACAGGTGCTCTCTCTCCTCGCAAGCCTCCATCATTACTTACCCTGTTCTTTCTTGGTATATTACTTCCAAGTACCTGCTCTGAAGGTTTCAGAAATGGAAAGACCTACTCAACATATGGTAACTTGTGGAAGAAAAATTTTTCATAATGAAGAGTTGCACGGAATGATGCCTTAAGTGACTACTTATTTAATGTGGAATGGCAAATTGGAGGGAGAATCTAGCTGTTCACAGTTGCAGATAAAGAGGAATTCCCCTAAATGCATGTTATGTATGCAGAGATTTTTATACTAAATTAACAACTTTTGGACTTGAAAACTGCATTTTTGCCACTGAAGGATCATCAATTTTATAAGGATCTACTCACTTGAAGTTTACTCGAAAATCATGTATTAGGACCAGGAAAAGTGGAAGCAACTAGCGTCCATGGTGTGAATAAGTTGGGACCCCTTAAATAAAACATTCTAGGACCTCTTCAATATTAAGGAGCTCAGTATAAAATAGTCTATGTGATTCAGAGCTAATAGTTGGTTTTGTTTTGTTTTGTTTTTTTTCCTTTCTTCTTTTGCAGCAAAACTCTTCAACAAATGTTTGTACTTTGTGTGAGAAAACGTTCTCAGTAACTGAGACAAAGTGTCACTGCAAGTGAGTAACAGTCTTGTAAGAATGTCAAAATGATATCTTTAGTTTATTTTAGAACATTAATATTTTAGCCATGGCCTTTTTGTTAAGTTACGTGTCTTTGTATTTCATATCGACTTCACCATAGAATGGTGGAGTGGAATGGCCCTTGAAATTTCAAATGAGAATTCTGAGAAGAAATTTTACCATTTAGGGTGGATTTCCACTGTTCCGTGTGGAGGCGTGTGTCACCGAGCGGTTAACACCTCGAACTCTGGATCTGGAGGTCCGGGGTTCAAGCCTCGCCCGTCGTGTTGTTTCCTTACACAAGAAACTTTACTCCACTTTGTCTCTCTTTACCCCGGTGTATAAATGGGTACCGGCGACATATTGCTGGTGGGGAGTGGGAGCAATACTCCTAGGCATGCTTTATGCTAAGGAAACCGGGATACGCTGCGACCGTTTGGGCCTTTGGCTCGTGTGCGCTTTTTTTACCTCCACCGTCGCGTTTCATTTTTACGTAAAAATGCGTAAAAATGCGTAAAATGTACGTAGGTAAATAAAGTAGAGGTAGTGTATAAAAAGGTCGCGCGTAAACGTTCAACTTCAACGTTACGCGCGACCCTTCATACATTGCCTGGAAATCCACCTCAGGGTATATGAAAATAATCTTTTTAGTTCCAATTAACCAGGAGATTAAAAAGAAGATAAACCTTGTAAATGAGCGATAAATATGAACCATGAAATAATTAGTATTTCATTTAACCCTTTAGTCCCAATGGTGACCAACATCAATATTCTCCTAACAATATCCATGCATTGTTAAGAGATTAGGTTATGAGAATTGATAATATGATCACGCTAGAGAAAATACCTTGATCTTTTATCAAATTCTCTTAACTCATTCTTTAAGAAAATGTATGGAGACCTGTTTGGAGAATTTGTATATGGATATTGGGACAACATTTTTGAACTTACTAAGAAGTCAATTGGCAGCGATGATGAAAGATAGTACAATAAAAAATAAAAAATTAAGGAAAGAGAAAACATAGAGTAGGCCAAAGACCAAAATTATTTGAAACCAAGTGATGCTAAAATGTGGAGATCCCTGAGCCGTCTTTCTTGAAAAAGATCGAAAAAGGGCCCTGTATGATTTAAGAATGGGGCCCTCTATGACGTTGACGTCCTGGACGTCGAAAATGGCAACCGGAAGTTAATATTTTCTCTCTATCAATGCTCTGACTCGTCAAATTCGTACAGCGGGTGTGAAAACAAAGGCATTCAGGTTCGTTTTGTGAGACAGAAGCGTTCCATCAAGCGAAACATCGAACTTCCGGTTGTTATTCATGACGTTCGGGACGTCAACGTTCTCGTTGCTTAAGCTCGCTAATTCCTAGAGTAAACCCTGGATCTGGTTTCTGTTCAAGGTTATGCGCTAGCCACAAGTAAATTAACGGACTAAAAGGGCGGCCGTGGTCACTTGATAGAGATTAGACTACGAGCAGTCTCTTTTTTCTTAGTCCGTTGAGCGAAACGCGCGAGACACGAAAATGACTATGCGCGTGATGGGCTACCGCCCTCGTTTCTCGCGTCTCGCGGCTTCCCCGCTCGGACGTTCCCCGCTCTGTTCCAGGTTCCGAGATAGTCGGGTGCGCGAAATTGAAAAAGCGGGAACACTTTTTTTCCCAGATCAAGCGCTTATATTTTCGCTTGCCTTACACATCCCTACAATCTGAGAGCCTGGAATAAGCTAGACGCACTTTCAAAGTTGTTGTTTTGCCAATCTAAACCTATTGCTTTTTCTCAGCACTCTCTTCCTTTTAATTTAACCTTCTCCTTTCTACAGGGTTTGCGGTTCTATAATCTGCTCATCATGTTCATCGGAAACACTCATTCTATACCCCGCTGGACAATCCAATACCGTAAGTTGGGCTCTCATCAACATCATCGGTTCCCCGGATGAGGAACCAACCGGGTGTTTTTACTTGCGAATTTGCAACGCTTGTCACGACAAGGCAGCGGTATTACAGGCAAATACCGTCACTGACGGAGCGCCTGTGACGTCCATACTGGACGACATCGCTAATATTCATCAGACTCTTATCAAGATTCAGATTAAAATTAATGATATGCTTCCTAAGTATGAGACTCTTGTGGATGCGGTAGAGGCTAAAACAGATTTAAAGGGGCTCATTCCCGTTCAGCAGAGTGCTACGCAGACAATGGCTAAGTATCATTTGGATTTGTCAGATCTCTTCACGCAGTACGCTGTTGACATGCAGGGCATAAAACGTCTCAAGCCGCAAACGAACACCCAGATAAAACTTGCTAAAAATTTAGCGAGCGGTATGTTTAACTTCTACGGTGATAATTTCCCGCTGTTTAGAGATTGCAAAAGGCGCGTGGTAGAAATTCTTCCGCAAGAAATACTGGAGAAAGTTCAAGTGATCGTCGATCAAAACGCCATCAACAACGCCTACATTTACACCAAACAGCTTGGGCTCGAGGCTTTGCTGTTGGCTGATAAACACAAATTTGATAATCAAATTGCCACTTTGCTGGCCAACTGTGAGAACGTCTGTCTCGAGGATTTGAAATCGCAGATCAGGGAGAGTCAAGAGGACTGGGATCACCATGAAAAAACTCTGCAAGAGTTGCTTCACGTTAACATTAAAGACCATCGCTTGGTTGTTCCCTCTAGAAAATCGACGCATGCGCAAGGTGCGGTTTACGTACAGGCTTTTTTGTTTGATCGCTGTTGTCTTTTACTAGCAAAAACACTTTTTCAGTTGAGTGCTAAGACAACTGAGAAAAAGTTCTCGGCTTCTAAAGAAGCGTTGCAGAATTTGAGCATACAACTGTCGACCTTAAGATAATATAACTAATTAAACAGTTTAAACAGACATTGTAGATAACCAATCTAGGGATCAAAGGAAACTGTTTTATCGAATTCAGTCTGGTGAAAAGCATAACTTACAAAATCTGGGTACCTCCAACAAAGCTCTTCTTTGGTTCGAAAGTTATCTTACAAACAGACAACAGTCAACTCGTGTTGCAGCTTCATTGTCAGACCACTCACTATTACACATGGCGTACCTCAGGGCTCAATTCTCGGCCCAACGCTCTTCAGCCTGTACATGAATGATCTACCCAAAGTCATCAAGTTTAGTAACATCGAATCTTACGTTGATGACACTAAGATATATTTCTCGTTCGCGTCAAAGAACATTGATTCATGTCTACGCCAAGTTGATGAGTATCTCAAACATGTTTCACAGTGGTGTTGGGCTAACCACCTCTTTCCTGAAAAAACAAGTTTGTCCTGTTTGATGTGGGGCAACTGATCTCCAAGTTGCCAGTAACATCACCGTACCTTTCCTTGGTCAAGACCTAGTACCTGTAACTTCCGTCAAGGACCTTGGCGTCACACTTCATTCGAACCTGACCTTCAATGGCCATATCACTTCACTAACCTCCTCCCTTTTGTCAACATTAGTTCAAATAAATAGGGTACGGCACTTGGTCTCTAAAGATGCACTGTACATAATACTCAATTCCCTGCAAACTGTTCTATTGCTCGACCGTATGGTCTGAAACTTCTAAAGATCCATCCATAAACTACAACTTATGCAAAACTTTGCCGGCCGTATACTTACTACCACAAAAAAGTTTGATCACATTACACCAGTCTTACATGAACTTGGTTGGCTCACCATCGAAGAGCCACTACGCTTACGTGATGTAACTATGATCTTTAAATGTCTCAATGGTCTTGTAATAATAATAATAATAATAATAATAATAATAGTCTTTATTCAATCAAAGGATAAAAATACATATCCCAAGTTACGGTGAAAATGTATTAAAAGATTCACGATAAAATACAATAGTAATATAAGATAGAATAATACTATACTAAATTATATTTAAAAATAAGTCTATTTACAAAAGTTTTCTTGTATCTCTCCGTTTTTATCTGAGGAAGGTGACACCTTCTCCTACGCAAATTATATGCTAATTCTTTTTCTTTGGGAATGATCGCACCCAGCATATGATTATTAACAGCTCTTTTGAAAGCGGATTTATGCCCAGTTACCTAAGTACTAAGTTTGTAAAACGCTCTGAAACTCACTCGTATTACACTAGACAGAACAATCAACTTAACCTCCCTCAGTTTCGAACCTCCGCGGCACAGTGTGCCTTCCGTTTCAGGGCGTCTAAATATTGGAACAGTCTTCCCAATAATATTAGAAACTCTGCCTCTGATGAGATTTTTAAAAGGAGTACCAAGCTTGAGATAATCAGAATACAGAAATAGAAAAGTTGCCTATAGTTTGTTGATCTTTGTCATCAACTGTTTATTAACTTTTTAATTTTTTATAAATGTAGTTCTAGCATTCAAATTTAATTGTCTTTTATACATGTAATTTTTACCTATTTCGTATATTATACTTAGTGAATAATCTAGTAAATTAATTCTGAAAAACCCAATTGAGATAATTAATAAATGTATTATATTGTATTGTAACTTTCAGCTAACAAAAGATTTATTTGACCAAGCAACGTTCGTAACGTTTTTTTTTCTCGAGTTGTAGCAGTTGCTTAATCTTTATGGATCTGAAGCTTCTCCTGATGCAATCTTGACTTTTCCGGTGAATTTAAAAGCTATTTGTGACTGAGCTTATGTTCATCATTCAACATCAGTATATCTTACCACTCATACTTACTTTTTTTGCAGTTATGGACGATTGCATCATTATGTCAGCACGCGGGCTATTAAATCTCGCAGTTCCTGACATGAGTATAAAACTTGATCTGCGAAACGTGTTTGCTAACGTAACATTGATAATTACCATGTCATGTTCTAGATTTAACTTATGATTAAGTCTTAATGCGCAGTCCTGATCGTGATACTCTTCTTTAACTTTTCTTCATTTTCGACGGCACTTTTATCTGCGCCCACACAATTTCACAGGGACATTTTATTGCCTGTGCATCTTTTTTTAACTTCACCCCATCATAGTTCCCTTTCGGGCGCACTCCCAATTTGTTATTACTAGTGCTACTAGATCGAGTTTTAAGATAATTGTATTGCGGTTCGCAAGAAAATTCATTAAGAGAGCCTGCTTTTTTAAAAGTGAGGGCGAAGGCCCAGCTAACAGCTATAGTCAGGTCTCTTAGTGCAAAATCTAGGCCGGATCGTTACAGACGTGTCAAAAGTGTCAAATTTGGCACAGAGCTTCCTTAGCACCTGCCAATTAATACTGGAGGAGATGCCCGTTACAAATGGTCCTAATTACAGATAAAAGAGGGGGGTTAACTTTCACCGATAATAGCAGATTGGGTTCCCTGGTGGGCACTCTTCTTGTTTGATTTGGCTAAAAAAACATTTGTTTCAAATTTTTAAGTTTTTAATTTGGTAATGTGTAGTTGTTGTTACACGAGTTTTACATGTACATAATACTGACTAGTGCCCAGTCTCCACACGGTAAAATCAGTAAAACCGTTGGACTAATTTCAAAACTTCGGCACTCCATACCCCGTCATATACTGTTATATATTTACCAAACATTAATCCACCCTCACCTAAACTATGGTCTTGCTGCCTGGGGTCAGGCATCCAAGACGTCCCTCAATAAAATTTTAATTCTCCAGAAGAAAGTGCTTCGCATGATGTATTTTACGGATATACGTGAACACGCAATTCCTCTATTTATCGACGCTGACATATTGTCAGTGTCATTTATGTATTATAAAACTGTGGCTTATCTAATGTACGATATTAACAGCAACAATTCGCCAACAAATCTGCTCAATTTATTTGAAAAAACCTCAACAATTCATTCTTACTATACAAGATCATCTAGTTCAGGTAACTTTCACGTCAAAAGCTCAAAGCTGGAAATACACAAAAACTCCTTGTCTCGCTTTGGTGTAAAACTTTGGAATGAGATGCCTTGTCATATTAGAGATCTTCCTAAAAAGAAATTTAGGAAAGTACTTCACAGATTGCTTTCGGATATCTTAAAAAGAGAAGATGACTATATTTAGACGCCCTTAAGAGCCATTATCTGAGAAAATCGAGAATCGCACGACACTCGTCAAAAAATCGAATTTTTTTTTATTTTGCCAAAACATCCCTTTTAGTGACCTTATTTAAGGAAAAATAGTTTTGGGTTCAAACGATTCATTTTAAAGGAGAAATTAGGAAAAGTTTGAAAAATCGATTTTATGCTCGTTTTTCGCACAAAACACGGCAGGATGCAATGGCAACTTCGAGAGAAGGGTGAACGCGTAAGAAACATTCCCTGACATTGAAACTTCACCGAATTATTATTTTGTTCTTACTCTTGAAAACCTTAAAAGAAAATTTGATAAACAATGCTTTACATTTTTATAATCGACAAGTGTAAACAGGTCATATTTGTGACGTTAGACGTGCTAGAAAATGAAGGCCAACTTTGACTATTAAAAAAGGCCTCTGGTATATGCCGCTTGATCATAAAATCAATATAAAATGGAACCTTGGATATTGTACTAACTTACTGGAAAGTTTTAACTCTGGAAATCAAATATCATCCTGACACCAAAGCAAGCGGTGAGAGCAATTGAATTGGGAAATTTATGCAAATTAGACGGCTTGCGGACGGTTGTCAAACTAAAAAGAAAGGTTTTACATGAAAGGATTACTCACCATTGCTTGAAACACGTTTTTACGGCAAGGAAAGTTATTTCCAACTTCTTTTGCGTCGTTTTGAGTCACAAAATAAATAATTTTTAGCCAAAAGACAAACGTACGTTTGCTCAGCAACTGCGTCCGAATCCGGCCGTGAATCGAAAGTCCCGACACGTCGAAGCAAGAGTTACAAGAGTTTTTACTTCAGTCAGGAGGCAAAAGGAATAAAAATTCATCGCAAACTAATGACTTCGATTTTGAAAACCTTTCATCACTTCAATCGTTCGTCGGCTGATAATAAACATCGCACAAGATCGTATGACCTTTGGCGTGTGACCGGAAATTGGTCACACGCTTTAGTCACGTCAGCATGCTGTCACGAAATTTTCGTAGCTGTTGTCAGCAATTTTAATACAGTTTTCACATTTTTTGACAAGAACTCCTCTCATCGCAGTAGAAACAGCCATGCATATTTATTTTTCTTTTATTTACCTACTAGGCTTTGAAACAGCTTTTTTGCCTTCGAGTACTAAACAGGAGGGGTACCTCGGATTCCAAGTGTCGTGAGTGACCCGTGGAAGCGAAAGTCAAGACCAAAAAAGAACGAATATTTTGAATACTAAAGTAAAGCCACAGCTAAAAAAAAAATTTGTTCAAAATATTTTCAAAACAAGAAAAAAACATACTTCGATCATCCCCGTGACTTGGAATCTGGCCAGGGTACCCCCTCCCCCTCCCCTCCTCCCCTATGCCGGGTCAAAATACTAAGTTCCCCCGGCCCAATGTCCCATAGTCAAGGGAGTATACTCTCTTGCTGTAGTAAAGAACTTGCAGAATAATACCAATTCTACGTGGCCAACGGATTCAACGCTATAGTTTACTTTGGTTTTCGCTATTTGCTCACGATCAGGAGCCTATAACCCCAACCGCGACCAAATTATGAAACCTGTTATTACCGGAAAAAAAAAACACAAAGAAACAGTCAGTCAGATAGACAGTACATAATAAAAAAGACCTCGATTAGGATTAAAAAAAATCAAGACATGACACTGTCGAATACGAAAACCCAGAAACCATTTTGTGGAAAAAAGGTTCGTATACAGCTATCAGCTGCTTTTGTCCACAACTCGCCGGTAGAGGTGCGCGGAAACTAGTGATTGTGAAATGGCTTCAAACTATGATCCTATAATGTTGGAATAT